AGAGAAAGAGAAAGAGAAAGAGAAAGAGAAATTAACATATAAAAAAAGCTTAAATTTCTTCTAAATTCTTTTTCCTAATTATACTTTTGATAATAGAAATTCTTTTTTTTACCGGAAATAATATAAATTATAATATTTTTTATATCACAAGGTATAATTGCAATAACATCCACACGCTAATCCCGCCTGGACTACTAAGTTTCTATCTTCTTATGATGACTGCAGGCCTATGCCAGGAGCTTTGCGGCCTTCAACGAAATCAACAGGCGCCTGGTAATGCTGCTTTCCGTGCACCATATAGACAACTCCGGAGATGATAATGACACCGACCCAGACCGCAGGAGCCCAGTTGGCACTTTCCGTATCCACGGGAACAGCAGTCGGAAAGCTGGCAAAGATGATAATAAAGGCGCAATAAAAGACGGCAAATGCATTGACGGGCAGACCAAGACGACCCAGACTCCATCTTGCTGGAGGCAGTTTTTGACCCTTAATACGCATCCACAAGACACTGCCGATACTGATCAAGTACGTGCTCAAAAGGCCAAGTACGGAGAGCGAGACAATGGTGTTGAATGCGACAGTGGAACCCAACTGAACCAGAGCCAGGATTGCAACAAGTACGGAAGTGATGTAGACTGCGTTCATGGGTACGTGGTATTTTGGATCCCTGATTCTCGTCAGTGTGGCGTCTTCATCGTCGTGGTGCACTGAAACTTACATTTTGCTCACAACCCTCGACCATGGCAATCCTCTATCTCGACCAAACGCAAAGACTTCTCGTGCACAGGTTGCAAGTGCAGTGATATTTCCCGAATAAATAAGCAGGAAAAGTATGACATTGAGCACTATTGATAGCGCAGGAGAGCCTGTGTTGTTGAAGAGAATGAGATACGGCACGTCCGAGTCGACCTTGTTCAGATGTCAGCTTGACGCAATTCCTGTACAAATGGCATTATGATAAATCTTACGACTTGCCCCAATTCTGGAAGACAATAGAGCATTGTAATGAGCATTGTTATACCCAGAATGACGTTGCCAATGTAAGAATACCACCTGGCAGAGTTAGTGAGAAAGTCATATTCTGTTCTGGCAGCCATGAGTATTACGTACATGCATTTCGGCACAATCAAGGAGGCGTCTTGAACCTCCTCAGAAATATGTACCACCGAGTCTGATCCAAGATTGCAATACATGACCGTCACTTGGCTGATGAGGTACGCACTGCCAATGCTCCAACCACTACTGCTCTGGAAATCAGTAAAGACCTCTGTTAGAGACGTTAGCAACTCCTCTTTTGAACTTAGAGGTAGGCAGGACTTACCGCGGGCACTATTCTTGGGACATAATACTAAAAGCGAAATCATGACTACGAAAAATCCGGCAATATGACCGATCAAACTTGCCGTCTCCAGAGCAGGCAACACTCGGGCTCCCCAAGTATTGAACACGATGGTCACACCGATGAAGGCCCACATGATCAATGTGAGGTGCCAGTTTTCAAACACAAAGTCCGGCTGCAAAACCTCTATCATGGCCTCGATTTGCAGCGCGACGACATAGTTGCTGCTTGCAACGCTGGCCAGCCATCCCAGCGTAGACATCCAGCCGCTCGCATAACTCAACACTCTCTGCGCGCTCGGTGGCGCAAACTCGCTCACCCAGTGATACTGCCCGCCTGCAGTGGGAGCCATGGAGGCCATTTCGGCCAGGCTAGCGACAATGGTCGAGTAGCACAAGACGGTCGTGATGAAGCACCAGAAAAGTCCGCCAAACCCTCCATTGGCAAACCCGACGCTCAACGACACAAGTACAAACTCCCACGTGGCCATGTAGATGCTCACGAAGCCGAGCGTGCTGAGGAATTGAAAGTTGCGTCGAAACTCCTGCTTCTTCCCCAATCGGCGCATGTCCCGCATGTCCTCGGTGGTGCTGAGGACATCGCCAATGATGTCGCCATCGTCTGTATATCCTTGGCCTACGACATCTTGACTTGTCATGTCCAATGGTTTTGGTTCCCCCATCTTGATGTTTTTGATAATGAGCAAGGTTGCCACAAAAGTTGAATGTTGGGAACAACAAAGAAGAAGAAGAAGCCAATGCCAAATTAGATAAGCACAAGAACACCTACGTATATGTAACTCTGAACCTAGAACCACAGGGGTTCTCTCGTGGGGTGGCGGCGATACTCGGCTGCATCCACGGCTGAGCCGAGGTGGCGTTTTCGATGAAACAGATAAGAGATCTCGAGCGTCTATCAAGGCATTAGGGAAGCCTGCAAGCGTGATAGACCCCAGACGGAAGAGTATGCAGGGCCTAAAACCGGTCCACTCCTTATCATAGGTACATACGAAGACACACCTACATGAATGTATTGGTCATCACTGTCCCCTGCGCTGGAGAACTATGCTGAAGACTGGACGAGATACATGTTCCGATTGGCGGAATCAAACACGGCAATCTGGTCAAAAAGTTCAAATGGCATCAATAGCATTCAGGGCGCCATAGACCAGCCACCATGTAGCTTTATTGTATTTATTCTTTAATTTAAATTTGAATCACAGATGATTTTGAGATATACTAACCCAGTGCGCAATCGTGCCAAATTGCGTTGATTTCTCTATTATTTTATTAGAAGAAGGTAAGTGATTATCAAATATTCACTCTCGGAAGTGGACAGCCTATACCCCAGATTGCATCGTGGAGTGGGGACTTGCTAGTGACATTCATTCCCATGTCGCTAGCAGACATACGCAAGAATATTCATAGCGCAGACAGAACCGTATATTCCATTATTCGCAAGCTTATATAACTACGAAAAAAAGAAAAAAGAAAGAAAGAAAAAAGATGAAAAAGAGAAAAGAAAACGCGATTATATACAAAAATATTTGCTAATCCATTTCAAATTATGAGTATTCCGTTTCCGACAAAGTACGCATTTAATAAGCTTATTATTGTGAAGCAAATGGCTTATATAATTTGAAATATATTCAGTTTGTCCAATTTTTCTATTTGTGACATCTACCATATATATTCAGAAGTCCGAAAGCCAATCCCTCCAGCTAGCTCTTTTCGATCTATTCTAGTTTCCTGCCACCAAGGTGTATATGCCCTTGGGCTTACCATTCTCCTTGTATAAGACGCAGATCGACCGTGCTGAATAGCATACCGCTGCAAAAGTACGTGCCTAGAGCATGAGAAATTAGCTTAGAGCTCGAAAGTCTTCTTCTCGTTCTCCCGGCATTGTGCGCTTCTTGGTGGTTATATGCGCTTGAGTTTTTTTTTTTTTTTTTTTTTTGCAATATTCCAGGGTATCTTATAAGATATCACGTTTTTCCGGCTGGAAGGCTCGGACAGTAATCGCCTCTCCATTGCCAACAGCTGTCTCTGATGTTGAATTGCGGCAGGGAACCGGCATTCTGCTATTCGGGAGGCACTCTGACCTCTATGGGCTCCATTCCCTTGCCATCACGGCCATGCAGGCAGACTACACTACTCCCGCTTCCAGTTCCGCGGGCTTGGATATAACCTGACGGGAATGTAGCCGATCGCTACAGCCCTTGTCTGGTTGGGCAATGTCTAAAAACACAGAGTAACCTCTGTGCCATACTCGTCTTGGCTTCTGCTTTTCAGTACATGTCTTTCTCCGGTTGAGCTTACCCAGACTTGGAGCCCAGACTGTCAAAATCATCATTGCCACCAAAGACATCTTGAGTCTTGTATATGGCACAGTTTGGGTATCCGCTGTCGAGTAACATGATTCAATGTGGATGATTGAAATCCAAAGGATGACCATCTTATCTGCGTCTCACCTTCGTTGCTGGTGCTGCCACTCTTTGGCACTATTCGCAATATTTCACAGTCATATTCCAATTTTGCCCAAATGGCAGTGAGAATGTCTGCATCGTCAAATGGAACATGAACTACGAATACTCGGATGGTCTCCGCAACCACCCCGATCGAGACGATGGAACCTGCTCCATCGTTCTGAGCGACGAATGAATTGGTGATCTGTACCAAAGCATGTTCGATCCCTGGTTTAGCCTTGGCTGTGGCTGTCCCGACATGAGGAAGATTGATTCGTGCCAACCCGTGCCCGAGAGCTTCCCCTCGGGCTGCGGTGCCACATGTTAGTATTGAAAGAGACAAAACACCCGAGATTCAACCAGTCCAAAGAGTATGTTTGGATCATGCTGCAGTCTTTAACGTGCGCCATAGACGACAACTCCACAATAGTCAACAGAGGCACCACCAATGCCACAGCCGGCGTGATAGATTGGGAGAACCACCAGTATATTACGCAGTAATATAAGTACTAAAAGGTGATTTTCTCACATTGTTCCCCCTGGATTTCCTTCGGAAGACTTGCCTTTTGAAAACTTGTTCGCTGGTCCCACATCATGTCTCGGAAAATACCTACCAACAGGTTACCTGTAACTCGAGCACATGGAGCAATCTTCTACGTAACTATCCAAGAGAAAACCAACAAGGCAACACATTCCGACTCACGATCGCCCGGTGCTCTTGGCAACCTCGTCTGTACAATGAAATCGGCAGTCGGCCGTGGCCTTTCATGGTGGCCTGGGTGAGAAAGGATGGATCGTCGCCCACGTCACAGTCCGTCCAGCCGACTGACCTCTATTGTGCTCTCGGTCTGTTTGGTGTCAAATTTGTCAATATTTTGAACATACGAATGGGAAGATAGAGCTAAAGGTAGGAGTATGCTACCAATAGCGCACACAAGATAATGATGCTTTTTTTTGTATTGTCCCTTGCCAAGGTGGTAGCTATTACACCAGTTCCGATGACCCGTGCCATCGAAGGAGGCTCAATTAGAGCAGAAAGTGTACACATAAATACCAGAACGGCTTCTACTATAGCCAACGCCTAAAGATCTTAATGCCAGGTGTAACTGATCAGAACCCAACTGTGGATGGGTATTGGGGGGTATGTGCAAAACAAATGAAATTGGTGCCTGTTGGCACAATGGCGCATGTTGTACGCCTCAAGATCCATCCCACCTCCTCCATTACAGGTCTCCAAGTCTCCGCCGTTGTTTAAAAGACACCCATCACGTACGGGATGAGGGCACTGCCGTGACGGTTAGCAAAATATCTCCACCCATCAAGATGCATGAGGCTTGTAACACTTACCCAACTGCGAGCGTTGCACTTAGACCAATGAGTGCCCGATTTCGGACGCGGGCTTTTCTCAACTCTACATTCGGCTTTACCTTCTTGGATCGAGGGCCATCTGCAGCCTCGCCCTCGCCGTTGGCCTCGTCCTCGTCGTCTCCGGCAGTGATGTCGTCTGCCTTGCGCTTAGCTTTCAAGTCACTCGAGGAAGCAGCAGCTTCAGCTGCAGCAGAATCAACTAGTTCCTTGGCCTCAGCAATCATGCGAGCTGTCTCCTCGGCGCTTGGAGGCCCTTGGTCGATGGGGAGCTCGAGCTCGACTGAGGTGTGCGTGGTCTCCACTCCCTCAAACACCTTGACGTCTCTGTCAACCTTGACCTGCACCTTGGCCTCCTCGTCCGTAGGTCCAAACACAACCGTAGGCTCCTTCACGATCTCCTTGACCTGAATATCCTCAACGGAGGCGGTTTCTTCAGTAGAAGCTCCGTTGACGCTGGGAGTTTCACTAATAGTCTGGACTGTCTTGGATTTGGCGGCCCGCTTCCTTGGGCTCGCGACTGGTCGGGCTTTGGCGGGGCTGGCGGAGCGGCGGGCGCGGGTGCTGCGCGACGTTGACGAGGGTGTGGGGGGTGCCAAGTTGACTGAGGCGGATCTCAAGACATCGTATTTGGGAGGAGCCTGGATTTTCTTGGGCGGACTGTCGGGTGCGTTGGTCACAGCGATTTCGGCAGGATCTAGCAGTGCGCGGATCCACGAGGTAATTTGGTATTCCTCGGCCAGCTTCAAAGCCTCATCAGGAGGGATCCAGACATTGCCAGCTGTCTCTTCGGGGCTAGTAGTCTCAAGAGACTTGATGTACTTGCGTTCGTACTCCTCCTCGAGAGCCTCTGCGTAAGGGAAGGTGGCTTTAAACATGCCAGTCGCCGACACGTAGCCATCCTGACTGCGGCGCATGAGGAAATACGAGTTGGGCGATGACTTGAATATTCCGGATTGGATTCCCTTGGGAAGAGGAGCGCGGAGGTGCGCATAGTCGAAGACGCCCAGGCTCGCAGGGTCGACATCGCCAGGAGCGCCAGCAGCGACCATCTTGGCAGTCAGCTGGGTCTGGCCCAGGCGCCGGCGCGAGACGAGCTCGGGATCTGTCGGTCGCAGTCAGTAGAAGTTGAGTGGTCGTGGGTCGGAAGAGTAAGTACAAGCCGGGATATCATCAACCATCAGCGGGTTGTGCTTCTGTGGTAGTTGTCGGCCTGCCATTGCGACGAGTTTTCAAAGTGCGCGACTGAGCGGGCTTTTTTGCGACGGGACCGACAGTGTGAATTGCGCAACTAGTTGGGACGGCTCGCAAGAGTAATCGCGACGTGCCAATTAAGAGGACGTAGTGACGACTTGAGCACTGTCAATCTTTCAATTGCGCATCAGTAAAGATCGTCTACTCGAATGTAGAAGGAGACGGGGAGAGAGAGGAGAGGGGACAGCGACGCGAGCAGCCGCGAGGTTCGTGGCAGAGTCGCGCGCAAAGTAGGTAGGGATGAGCTCGAGTACGCTCGGGCCACACGATGAGCTTGTCGGACTTACATTGGAAATAGTGCAAGTACTCAGTACTAGGGGCCGAATTCGACCCGTTGCAAAGAATGAAATGCGAGAAGATAATTCGGCAGGAAGCTGCAGAGATGGAAGAAATAACCAAGCGGCAATGGCCCTTTGGGTCAGTTCTGCTCAAGTTGTCCCACTGATGCAAAATGGTGAGAGAACCAGAGGGGGGGGGAAAAGATGGGAGGGTGCGAATAAGTTGAGTTGAGGGAAGGGCCTGGGAAGGTACGACTACACATACTTCTGTGCTTCAAATGTTTCCTTCCCTCCTCTCTCCCTACCTTAGGTACCTGCCCTCTTACTACTCAAGGGTCGAGTACATGAGGTAGGTATTGAAAGTGCCTGACAGGCCTGTGGCCCGCACAGACCCTGGGAATTCGGGGACCAATTTAAGCAGCCCAAGGCCAATCACGAAGAGGCAGCAAGGGATCCACTTGCTAGAGGCATGCTGGAAATGGCCTGGGGGTTCCTAAATTGGATGGTCGTCTTCTCTTCTCGAAGCCCCAGGCTCGCCAGGTCCCAAGGAGTCTGGTGACAATTCAATGAATCGAAACTACCCTAGCCATTCTGCCGCTCTACTCTCCGCAAAAAGCTCACCGGCAACGCGGGTGGTGTCGTTGGGGGACCCTGCTGCAGCTAAAGGGTAGGTATTGAATGTCCCTGAGCATCGTGTGGCTTGGCGTTGCTTCACTCCTTGACCCGAGTTGAATGCACAAAGCTGTCCTGGCCAACTCCTTGCGGTGTGCTGCTGACCGCGTACCTCACAGGTACAGTAGGCTTTTGCTGTAAAACGCGAGCTGCCACGGGAACCTGACATTTGGCGCGATATCGCCGCGAAGAAACCAACTAATAATTAGGGAGGTGGTTTGTAGACCACTTATTGCCACACGCATTGCTGGTTTCCGCTCTCCGGTGATCAAGTCTGATGGAGTGGGTGAGATTAACGTCCGAATAGGGCGCGTCAATTGATTCGCACTATTCCTTTGCCATGGCAACGCGTCTATGGACTATCCACGCGCTATTCAGTCAGTTTGACAGGTTTGTCCTTCTAAGGTTTGCAATGAGATAATAGACAGCTTCTGCCGGTTTGAAGCGCTTGCTGCTTTTACAAATTTGTCGCATTGAGTTTGGATTATTTTGAGCGACTAAGTCGGCTCGATCGAAATTGTATGCTCTGCTGCGACCCATTGTAGGTAGTTTAACATGGACGTTAAAATCCACTGGACGGGGCATCACGATACAGGCGCGCTAGGAGGTGCACATGTGGATAACCCACAATATTGCATCCAGAACATTGAATACTCTATCAGGACATACAAAGCCTGCTCCATCCTACGTACCTCCCAATGTAAGTTGCGCTTATTCACGTGTGTGACTTCGTTTCTGCGTCTCGAACTCTATATTCACATAGCCCCATAGTTGTTTTTATTCGAGGTTTTCCCATATCCTGTATTCGATACTCGGGCGATGAGATCATGCTGGTGGCAATCGGCATGCTTTTGATGTGGCTGTTTGCCTGCACGATGTATTGATGTAGGCACCAGGTAACGCAGGTACTTACCTGAGATACATGATACAATAGCAGCTCGCTTGCATCTCACAAAGGGCTGGCGTCGGGAATGTCTCCCTCGAGACAACCGATGTTTTCTTCAACTGTCAAAGAGTCGCTCGAGTGGCATTACCTACCTACCCTAGGTAGATTCCTCCTCCCTGACGCGCGACTTACTTGCGACTGTTCGATGCCCCTCGCAACAGCAATGCTCTGTTGCTAGAGCTTGAGTCTGCCCCCAACGACTAACTGTCTTGTCGCCTGTGGCATCCGCTGCTCAAATTCTGAATCATACCCCCATTTGCCGAAGAACGTGGCATGTTTCTCTCATAAGGCCGCCGTGCATTGGCTCTTTTTTCCCTTCGTGGTCTGGCCGGGTCTTTGCAGCGCATAAACAATCACCTTCTCAACTCCAAACCAGAAAAGGGACGCCGAATAAGAACCAGAACACAGCAGCGCGCCCCTTTGTGCCCCTCATCCGCAAAGCACAACCCCACCTAGCTGACGCTGAAACGGAATAGCGCGACCTCTGACGTCCTAGCATCCTGATTTCCATTCCACCTTAGAAAGGGCGTCCATCACCGCCAATTGCCCCTCTTCGTGATATCTTCCCATTCTTCCATCTGCTTACCACTAAATCCTGAGCATTGAAGTGGCTTTCTACTGAATTTCTCGTTTTATTTCCTTTGATCAACCGCCTTCTCTCCCGACCAGCCAGCCAACAATTCGCCCAACATGGCCTCTCACGAACAAGATGACCACATGCCTGAGGAGACTCAGGGCTACAAGCTCTCCCAGCCCAAGCAAAGTCTGGCTGAATACCAAAACATGGGTGAGTGAAGCTTTCTTCTTTCCAACCCCAGTACGATTTATCTCCCCGATACGGCAAGAGCCAAGGCATATGGATTTGTGATATCTACGACCGCAACCTGGGCTTCCCTAAACATTCTCGATCGACGCGAACAAAGCATCCTACCAAACTCGACTCCTTTTGCTTCGACCGTTGGACTTGACCCTGATGGCCTACCGCCATCATCTCAACATTCCAATGCCACAGTCTTGTGCTTGCTTTGCTTGTCCTATGGCTGTCATGAAGGGAGCATATATTATCCGAACCGACTCTCTGGTGTATATATCCAAATGTCAACTGGTGTATCACCTTTCGGCAATGGGAATCCATCTTTGAACATTGGGGTTGTCTATAGCCTTGAGCTACCCAATGAACACCTCCGGCGACTTGCAAAGAAGGAAAAACCAACTGCACCTACACGACCAACGTTCGCTTTCTACACACCAAAGCTCGAGGAATGGTTGGTGGGCAAAGGGAGATCTGCCTGATTCAGCTTTGGGCATCAACTCTACGCCTCAAACACGCACTCGTGCCACTTGCACGCTAGCCACTCAGACGGTCGAGACACCACAGCCCTCCAGCTCATCTTCGCCACCAGCACATCTGATGCTGTTCAATATAATTCAGCTCCGTCTCAGACTTATAGAAATCTGGAATCACAGCACCACTTGTACACATTGCTATGCCTACACCGGATAGGAGTTTCTACTTGGACTCCCGACCTCGATATTGGGTCGCCCGTATGATACTGGCATGCTTCGTCTCATACACAACATGCTGAGACAAGCCTATGACAATCGCTGCTGCTCATGGTAGCTTGGTCAGGGGCTGAACCTTAATCGGTTGCTCATACGAGATGAAATGGAAGCCTCTTGAGCGAACGAGATGGTGCACCAACATGCACAGTCAAGGGACCATACGTATATGAGCCGACGAAGATATCAGAAAGGGACTTGGAGTCGCCTTTCGGACAAAGTGGATTTGCTCTCACAATTAGTGGGGAGGGAGTTGATTGTTTCAACTTGCCTTGCCTTCATTGCCCGAGCCAGCTTACCCAGCATGATGCCTTTATCGTGTCATATTTTACACTGCTTTTCGCCATGCTCTTAAACTGACACATATCTCCTCACAGATGCCAATGATGAGTCTCTACAGAGATACAAGCAGTCGCTGGGACTCAGCGGCGGTGCCGACCTGTCGGATCCCAATGACAAGCGAGTGTGTATCATCAAGAAGCTGTCCATGGAGTCTCCTGGACGTGAGGCCGTCACTATCGACCTCTCCGCTCCCGGCAGCGAGACAACACTGAAGGACAAGCCCTTTAAGATCAAGGAAGGCTCCAAGTTCACCATGGTTGCCGAGTTCCAGGTACAGCACGAGATTCTTAGCGGCCTTCAGTATGTCCAGATTGTCAAGCGCAAGGGCATCAAGGTTAGCAAGGACTCTGAAATGCTGGTAAGTTGATTTCTCAAACTGGGCGTATGCACATTTCATACTGACTCGGTCACAGGGCAGCTACGCTCCCAACACGGATAAGCAGCCTTTGTACACCAAGCGCTGTAAGTGAAATCACCTTGACTGAGCCAAGTACGGCCACTAACCATAAATAGTCCAAGAGGAAGAGGCACCCTCTGGTATGCTGGCCCGAGGCCACTACAACGCAATCTCCACCTTCGTGGACGATGACAAGAAGCAGCATCTCCAGTTTGAGTGGTCTTTCGACATTGCCAAGGATTGGTAAACCAACCCTTTTATAGAGCTGTCGCTACGTACTGCATTAGACGCCTTTGGCAGAAATCTTCTAGCCATATATGCGAGGCCCAGTGATCCAGTTTGGATTGAACGACGGCATAGGAAACAGTCGAAACGGTATAAATGCTGCTTCGGAGACTAGACCTGGACGGACGGGTTAGACAGCTCACACTCAGGAGAAGAAACAACAGCGCCAAGCAAAACCAGACCACAACATCACCTAACACAGGTAGTTACTATAACAACATTTCTAACTCCCAGACGCAAGTCTGGAAGCTACAGAACCATGAAAGATCTATAAACAAAATTCATAATTGCACATTTTGCCCGCGACCTCGAAAGTAGCACAAAGCAGCATGAGGCTCTTGATAATGAATCAATTCAGATGGTAGTGCGGTGTGTTCATAAGAAGAATGACGGGGTATTTTCATTACATCTCCATATCTACTCTTGAGTCATTTCTGCGCACATCTATCGTGCATACTAAGAATATATGCTCAGTCTCGGATATCAGTCCAAGGTGTCTTTATCGAATCAGTGCTGCTAGGCTTCGTGGGCACAATTTTAAAGTAACGTTGGTAGAATCAAAGCAGCCCTTTTACAGGAAGTAGTCTGGCAGGGCGTTGCCATCCACTTTCTCGCCACCCTGCTGTGCATCCTTATGCTGGTCGTTTTCGGGCGCTGCAGCAAAAACATTGAAAAATCTCTCGCCTGTGTCGCCAACTTCCAGGACACTGGCCATGTTGCCACATCTGTAACAATAATTCGGAGCGCTCCATACAGTGCTCAGGTGGTCGTCGTATAGGACTTGAAAACCTTCCTGGCAGAGCTGATGGGCGCGCAGGATATGTGACATGCCGTTGACCGCCAGGAACTTTTTAACCACCTTGGCCCCAAACGTGTAACCGGCTCCTCTCGGCGACAAAGAGAACTCGTCTCTCTCCGGGTCGGGATCTGACCAAACCAGGTCCGCCATAGGGCCCTCGTGTGGAATCTCGCGGAACCGGTCGATAATCTTGATCTGGTCAATGCTGTGTATGCTCGGGCTGAGGCCGCCGTGGACGCAAAAGATTTGGTCGTTGATGACGACGCTGAGGGTGAGAAAGTCAAACATGTCGGTAAAGTAGTGCCACACATTGGCGTTGCCGTATTTCCTACTACACTCTGTATAAAAGCCATAACTCTGCGTGACACCTCGACTCTCGTGGTTGCCGCGGATGAGGTGCACGCGGTTGGGGTATCGTAGCTTCAGGCACACGAGCAGGCTGATGGTCTCGACGCTGAACATGCCGCGGTCGACATAGTCGCCGAGGAATAGGTAGTTGGTGTCGGGGCACCAGCCGCCAATCTTGAAGATTTCAATAAGATCGTAAAACTGTCCATGGATGTCGCCCACAACCGTCACGGGTGCCCGCACGTGCACCACGTTGGACTCGCGCATCAATAGCTCCTTGGTCTTTGCGCATATTGCTTCGATGACGGACTCGGCGAGGAGCTCCTTCTTGTAGAGACGCGATATGCATTCGTCGAGGTCGACGGACGCTGCAGGATGAGGGCCAGCAAGGTTAGCCTAAGAATTTTATGATATTTGGTGTCAAGGCTCCCCCACGGTCAACAGACACCAAGTGAGCGCGTGCTGGGTGGCTTTCGGGCGGGAGTGGGCAGAAAGTGGTGATTGTGGTGTGTGTGAATCGTCTACTAACCCGGTAGTCCAGGCATTTTTGGCTGCGGATTGATGTGCAGCTATGGCTGACTGACTAAAGGCTGTGGTTGTGAATGCAGACTCAGGGCGCTCGGTTGTGTCTGGCGGTCGGCTTCTTTCTGCTCCTTGCGAATGCTATATCGTCGTTGAAGTTTGGTGCTGTGGCGGGATGCGCAAACATGATCGTTGGGAAGCTGGTCGCTGGCTTCTACATCGAGGCCCGGTCTTTGGTGGGTGTGGGGGAGGCGTTTCGCATGCGACAGAGGCCGTGAAGTATGGAGACGCGCTGGTTGGAAGAGAAATGAAGAAAAGGCTGCACTGGAGGTGGGAAATCCTCGAGAGAGAGAAAAAGAGAGGAGAGTTACCAATCCATTGCCTGTTCCTGCCTACCAGACGCTTCCTACCTCCATGCTACAGTGCGTGCAGGTCTTGCAAAAACGCTGACTGATTGTAGAGGGAGGGCGGCATGTCTACTAATCAGTGCTGCATGCATTAGAGCCACACCATGAGGTTGAATGCTAAGCGATACGTAGGTACTCTGTAGTTGGAGCTTTTTAGAAGCAGGCAGATCCTGTCCAACAGCACGGTGGCTTCAGGTTCCGGCACCCCACCAAGGCATGTTCCCGTCCCGTTGCTTCCTGGAGGTCATTGATTACCTCCGGAACATTCTGCTAGCCGTTACCGACTGGACTACAAGAGGACATCCTTCCCTCCACTTTCATCCGAATCTTCGATTACTCTTATTTTAAACGACTCAACTTCCATGTTTCTTCTTTCATCAAGCGCGACGCTCTGCCTTCCTGGCATCCTTTCCACGTGTTTGTGGAACTCCCATATAGTCCCACTTCTTTCTTGATTGTCGCGAGGACGGCACGGCTATTTCAAGTGAAAAAACTCGCCATTGTTGCCCAGCAATGGGACAGCTCATGATTGCTAGCTTTATTCCCATAGCGTATACATATGGTACAATTTGAGTCTTCTGTCGATCCATCTTGCTGGTCCTCCTATTCCTCGCTCCCTACACAGAGTACAACCCAACTCGAGTAGTCTCATTCCACCGTTCCCAGCGGCCAACGGCATGGCTGTTCCAGAGGCCTTGCAGACGCGAGCACCGACTGTCTTCATATAGTAATAATGTTGTCCTCTCGCCATTCGAATGCACTAGTTCTGGAAGGAACAATACAGATGGATCATCTCTCTAATACTGTATCCCTTGCATATCTGCTGTTACACCATGCATACCTATACATCCTTAAAATGGCCATTGTATCGTACTACTACAAAGATTCTACTCATATCTACACAGGCATGCCTGGTCATTGATCTTCCCTCCCTTTTCAAAAATGATATATACATATGCTCGAGGCAACAGCGGCTCCTCATTCAACAGATAATACAAAGTACCTTCTCATGTCAATATCAACTTTAATTATCCATTCGTGCCCAATGTAAGGTACATATGGTTTGCGTCCACGTCCGGAATGACCCGGTGTTTATCCGGTCGTTTTTGGTCAGCCGTCCGTCCCTGCAGAAAGGTCCCAGAGCTCCACGCGCCGCCTGACCTCCCAATCTTACAATGTCCATTATTACTACTTCTTACTACCGACTATCCATCAGCCTCTCGTGAAGTCTCGCCCGTAGCGTATATCGGCTTCCTGCCCATCAGCGATACTCGCAGCCATCAATATATCTAGGTATTGACGTCCGGCAGACTGCATGAGTACGCGGCTCCGCCCCTGCCAGGAGAGCTGTGGTGGAGAGAGGAGCTTGAGGTCACGTTGCTGTCGCAAACCAACTGGCGTAGTCCATGTTCGTCGATAACTTCCCGTCTTTCATCCGAACCTCTATCGCATCTTGGATAGGTATGTGAACGTCGTTTTGAACAAGTTTCTTCTTCTTCTTCTTCTTCATGAACCTCCCATGATACCCCAATACCAAGCTTGCATACCAAGTCTTTTCAAACCTTGTTATCCCATCGGACCAAAGGGGACCAGTTGCTTTTTAGGTCCTGGCGCGTCGCCGAAGAAGAAGAGGAAAGCTGTTCCCAAACTCTACACCTTTGCGTCCCGGGGGTAATTCCAACGTCTCGGATCCCATGACAATACCCTGCAAAACCATTTCCTACAATCAATCAGGTTACCCGCATCGACTATTTCCAGACGCCACCTGACTAACCCAGCTACGACTTGTTATTCGTGCGACTTGGTTGGTCCCACTACTACCAGTTCCTCTCTTCTCCTACTATAATCATACAATAGCAGCACACTTTATTTCCCCCACCCTTGTCGGCCCCCACCAGAGAGAAACACCATCCTATCCCATCAATCTTTCACAGTCTTGACAAACCCATACTCACCTGTTCCCTAGGTAGTAGATGTCTACTCGCACCAATAAGGAGGCACTCACCATTTTCATCAGCCTAATGGGCAACTAAACTGTATCACTGAAGGAACTGCGTCAGCCGCCTGGCCAGCCTTGTCCAACAAGGTCCCCCGAGATGAATGGGACGATGTCTGGCCGTGAACCGCCCCCGTGCTACAATTGTGGCATGCGTGGGCACATATTCACCGCTTGCCCCGAACCGACGAGAGCGACTCCTGCGTAAGTACTTCCAGTCGCTCCTTCAATATCATGACGCTTGCAGGATGCAGCTGCTCACATCAGTACAGCGGACTCGAAGCATCTCGGGCAAGGCAACAAGCTGGAAGCGGCCGGTCTGATACTGACCATCCAAACAAACGGCACAAGGGCCCCATTGTTACACGCTACACGCAACCTCCGCCTGCACATTTACCGGCAAATCATTTTCCTGCTCCCATCCAGAATTATTCTTACGGCCCTCCACAGCCATATCCTCCGGGACCCGTACCTCCCCATCCCCTTCAGGGACAACATGGACATGGCTATCTGCCACAGCAGCCACCGCCACCACCGCATACTTATGGATATGGCCAGCCCAGCAGCGGTCCTGGGACCATCCCTCCAGCTGCTGGACACCCGGCGCCATACACAGCATTCCCACCACCTCTTGGCCACCCGCCTCCTGGCTATCCTCAAATGGCGCCTTTTGGATTTCAGGCGCCGCCTCCTGGTGTTCATGGGCCACCAGTAATCCCGCCTGTCAACTTTCATCCGCCCGAGTACAGAGCGTACACTGGGCTTACGCCTCCTCCGCCTAGTCATTCGGGTTATACCTCGTACGACCCACAGCATAAACGCGCTTCAGAGGGTTATGAACGGTCTCCTGTATATGGCGAAAATCAAAGGCTGCCGCACAATCGCTATACCAGGGATAGCTGGAGTGATCGACGCAACGACAAACCCGATTATCATTCTAGGGAGGATGACAGATTTTCAAGAGGTCGATCACGTGATGAACGACGTCAGGACCGTGACCGCCAGGACAATCGGCGTTCCTTCGATCATCGAAAGCCTCATAGAGCACCCACTGAGCGACACGGCCACCGTGGTAATCGCGACCGCCTTCGTTCGTTCAGTCGCCCGCGGAGTAACAGAAGCGTTGACAGCGAGAGCCACACACGTTTACCCATCTCTGAAATCCCCGACCAACTCCCGCATCACGAGATGCCTGGGAATGATCTGCCCAGCTATGCAATCGAGGCTGATGCGAGGCCGAAGAAAGATTTCCAACCTTCGGAAGGGTACATGCTGACTAACACGGGTCAGGTCAAGGCCGTCAATGAAAGAATGGCCTTTCCGTCGGAACCGGCAAAACAGGAAGCCGACTCTCGAGAGCCTTTGAGTGAAAGCGATATTCCTCATGCTTCAGACCAAGCGCTAGAACCCGAGGCAGATTTTCTCGATGACTACGAGGCTGCCTTTTGTGAGATCGTTTCTACAAACCAGGGCGATGCAATAGCAGAACCCCTGCCTGGCGAGTATACGGATGAAATTATGCTGCCTCCCGCTTTCGACGCGAAGTGCGTCAAGTCCAAGTTGGTCACAGTCAGCAATCTTGATGATTTCGCTTTGAGCGTTAGAGACACCAATCGATGGCCAAAGTATCGCAATCATCCGGCATTCCTCCCACCGGGTGAGGTCAACCTGGCCAGTCTTGAACTGTACGTAGTCGAGGTTCATAAGACCCAGAACCGGCACGAAAAACGCGGTAGGGGTCCACAGGGTCAATACAGCAACCGAGATCAAGGCCGCCACCAGAAAATAAACAATGCCGACCGGATGGGAAAGAACAAACGTCATATCGCATCGTTCGATCGCAAGAGGAAATGGGATGATCACATGCATGATCCCACCGAGTTTGGATCTACTTATGCTGGAAACAATACACACTCGCAGGAGCCATCGCGGCGGGTACGGCAGTTCTCCCCTGAGCCCGGTGAGATTAGTGACACACCGACTTCATCGGCGATACCTGTTGAACAGAACTGGCTGCCAGCATCAACATCGCAGCAGGCCGAAGCCTCGATACATAATGGCGCCATGCTGGCAACGCATAGAGACTTTTCTGGTCATCTAGGCCCAAGACACGATACGTACATACGCAACGATAGCTATGAACACCGGCCTTTAAGTGGTACTGGTTATCATCACGATCCATCTCGTTCAACAGATCGAGAACGGATACCCATGAGATCTCCCAGTCCGTACACACGAGGACGGCACCCGCAAAAACTTACAACGCCCCAAGGAGAGAGAGCGGAGAGATCCGTTAGCCAACAAACCCATGAGCATTCAGACGGACCTTTACTGGACGAACTACAATCACATATCGATAAGGTCTGCTCTTCTACAGTGGTGAACACGCCTGCAAAAACTCCAAAGCAGGATGCCCAGAAGGGAAGGATTCATCATCCACTTCCACCCAGACCTCCTGTAAACATACCCAGTCCGAGGGAAACAGCAAGCTCCGAGCGTGGACATTACACTACCGGTCGCCCTGTTAGTCGCAACGAAGCTGCAGCGACTCGTACATCGACTCCTGACCCCGGATCACCACCGAGCGAACCTGGCTCCCCTCTTACAAGGATCGAAGCCGAATTGCTTGGTTTAGTGGGGGCAGACGAAGAGGATGAGCCTGAGATCAAGTCCCCCAAGAAGGAGCCCGACAATGCTGTTGTACTTAAACGCAAGCAACGGAAAGTCCACTCAGCTTATGAGTATGTCATACCCTCTTACCCCCCATGCTGTTTCATTGAAATTGGAGATACTCATACACTTCTAGTCGTCGTTGGTGATCAAATCTCCTGCACGGTGTCGCATCTCTATGGTCCCTTAATCCTCTCTCGTTATCGACGCCAGAGTTGGCACTCAACTCACTTGCCGCTCGAAATTCAAGAAGTCTTTGCATATATACAATACGGTCCGCGCGGTTCCCTCTATAGTTATCCGTGCACTGGATGGGGAGTTTCTTTGCTTCATTTGAAAGGGTCTTTTCTTACGGCCTCGACGCTTTTCTTGGTTTGATTCAACGTCGCTCTGAAAAAAATCGTGAAGTTTCGCGAAGTGCGACAGGTGACCTTGCATGGTTTCTTCTAGTTCTGGACTTTTTCTTGTACATTATACTATTATTACTCATGGCCAGGCATCTGATAGCGTCAATGATGTCTAATACCTTGGCCGGGCTTCAAAAACACCACCATCGGCAACCATACACCCTTCTAGATCGAGGTTGCAGAGACGATAAGCATCGAGGTTGCAGGCCCTCTAATAATTCCACATAATTGCAAATAAATCCTTCAAACTGAACCGGCGGCCTCTGAGGTTTAGTTATCACCCAGACATCGTGATGTAATCCATAAACCACCACGACAAGTTCTTCACAGCACCTTTCCTGCTCCGTGCTATTGAGCAAAATTTGAGCCAAGTAAACTAAGGCTTTGTCTCAGTTTGATTCATCAAGGTCATTGTCTCGGTGGCTTTGAAATGAGACGACGCGCGACAATGAACTTCTCTCCTCATATTTCTTTGACTCCCACACTGTTTCTTTTTCCTTCTCTCATTGTTTTTCCTCTCCCATTGGAGGATATGAAAAGCTCAAACCACGCCGGGTTTAGCAATTCAACAAATCCCGCTATAACCTCATTACCTACGAGAAGGTCACGACGCAAGCAGAAGCGTCTCGTCGTCCTTACCTGCACAAGAATAAAAATAGTAACACAAAAGAGCGTGGCCAAGTTTCGATATCATTGCCGTACTCCATAGTTGAGTTCAAATTTGCTCACAGTAGAGTATGGATTGGCTTTCTTGCTTTTACAGATGTCCACATACAAGCGTGGAATCCGTAGAAGCTGCTGAAGACACAACCAAGAGGATGGACTTGACGAGCTGGTACCAGCGGGACTGCATCCATTGCGATTTCAACATTCTCGACCTATCAGTCCGCGAGTTACATGCTGAAAGTCCGGAGCTAGAACGAGCACTACCAACAAGTGCATGGGATGATGAGGTCCGAAGAGAAGCGTTGGTGGCGGCGGATTGGGGACAATTAGGAGATGCCCTCTGGTATTCCTTGCTCCCGACCGATGGCCCAGTCACCAACATAACTTCCGAGCAGAATATTAGCAACACCGAGGTAAAGAACACATTGGAGAAGGATTTGCCGTCGCAGTCGCAGAGCAATATAGATGATGAGGAAGATGAGGATACAGAGGAGGGAGGCGCAAAACTCTGGTAAGTATCTACCTAGGTTCAGGTTCTTTTCCATGTGCCTCCTCGCCAAGAGAGCCCGTTAGGCCTCTCAGGTCTTTGCTCGAAAGTGTACATGGTTCGCTTAGTGTGGCGTCATGAATAGTTGACTGGGGTTGTCTAGATCTGCTGGCGCAGCTTGTATATTGATGATTCTGGTTATGTCCAAAAAAAAAAAAACCCTGATTCCAAATCAATGCCCGGTGATTCCACCACTTGTATCAATGAATTGACCCGTGATCCAACGGCTCTTTTCCTGGACAAACAACAAGACTGCATCCGCAACATCTTCAACATGGCCCATTCTGTCTGCTGCCCTCGTCACATCAACTATGGCCTGCATCGCTCTGTGCCCATTGGGGTTGTCCCGAGCAAACTTTCTGGACTCATCTGTATCGACCGGACCAGGTGCAATGCTGTTGACGGTAATACCATATTTGCGCCCAAACTAAGAGCCAATGTTAATAACGTGCCCCAAGATACATGGGAAAGAATCAAAGGGGATGCGTGTATTACCTCTGCAGCCCACGAGTGTGTCAACGAGTCTAGAGCCGCCTTGGCTGCGCTGTAAAAGTTCAATCCCTCAATGTAGAACTTTGTGCAAATGGTGCTAATATTGATGATGCGACCGCCCCGGGGAATGTGTGGCAAGGCAGCGCGCACCATGTAGATGGCGGTAAACATATTCTTGTTGAATTGCGCGTGGATATTCTCCAGTGGCGTGTCGGCAGTGGATCCAGGCAGATTACAGCCAGCATTATTGACGAGAATGTCAATGTGGTCGACGCCAAACGCGGCGAGGGTCTTTTGGACCAAGGCCTGGGCGCCCTCCTCGGTCTCGACGTTTTGCTGAATCGGCACGGCGCAGCGGGCGCCAACCTGGGCCGCGAGGCGGTCGGCAATGGCTTGTGCCTGGGGCCCCGTCGAGTCGCTCATGTAGTTGATGGCCACCTTGGCGCCGTTGCGGGCCAGCGCCGTGACAATGGCGGCGCCGATGCCCGAGTCGCGGCCCGCGCCCGTCACGATGGCCACCTTGCCCTCTAGCGAGAGGGATTCTGCTTTGGTCATATTTTCTTCCTTATTTCCTTATTGAGACTCTAGTAGATGTGAGTTACATAACTTTGTGAACCCTGAGCCGGGGGGAATTCTTCCTTGCGCATTTGCGAGCTTTTATACTCGAGGCAATATCAACACCCCTACCTACAGTACGCACCGCCATGAGCGGGCGGGGATCAAGAGGGGTCTTGTAACGGCAGGAAAATGGGCAATAATGCACGTCTCGCAAATATCAACCTAGTTGCCCATTTTTCTGAAGTTGCTATATGCATCTTGGCATTGCTAACTGTCTTGGCCAGGGAAAGGATCGTCATAGTAGAGGTGGTGTTTTGACGGGTACCCGCTTTGTCATCATGCTGTTTCCGGGGTTGGAATGCTCGTGATTGGCCACCTCGGCTTATTGGCCGTTTCTCTTATTGATCCTGGTCGCCTGTAGGTAAAGAAACCCGCAGAGTCCAGGCCAAAAATTATGGGCTTGCACCACACGCGCATCAAGTGGGATAGAGAGACGGAGAACAGACAAGAGTTGGCGGGGGGTTGCATGGCGGGGAGTCGGGGAGAGGCCAGCTTGGTGCGTTTTGCTCACTGGACAGACAAAAAGAGTGTGTGGTAGGAGTTGAGTGCAAGTCGAAACTGTTTCGGCAGTCTTGACAGTGGGTATGTAGTTTTCATATACGTAAATTGCAGCTCTTGGCGTTAATCTTTAGGTGGCGGCGGGTCTAGGTGAGCAGATGGAATGCATCCCATATTTATGCACGTGATCTGATTGAATGTCAATCCATCCTATACTCGAGGATTCCACAGTAACATGTGCTCTTCTTTAGATTGTACATTGAACCGTGGTGCAGTCCAGTGTTATCATACCATCATGGCAGCGATTGCTAGTTGGGGGTGAGTTTCGTTTTAGATTCCATAGCACGCGCCCTCCTCGATGGCGCCGAAATTGTCCCTCGATGAGCCGTCATTAGAACCGTTTATGGGTTGCAAAGTCACTAATAGGATAGAGACCTTCCGGTATTCGACCGTATGTTATCCACGTCCACGGCTGAACACCTCGATATCATTCTACAATATTTACCAGCATCTCATTGATTGATTACGATTACATCAGTATGAAGGCATTTCGCTCGTTTAGCGCTTCTCTAGGGCATCAGGTCCAGGAGTACAACTGCAAACAGCCTACGCTAGCGCACTACGTCATACTTGTATGCAGATGCGAAACACAAAAGCCATTGTAACTTTGATACAACGACAAGAACAATATCATCGTCACTTTTCTACGCAAACAAAATACAACAAAATAGCAGGATATCCATCTGTGCCCATTGCGAATAATATCATCATGGCTGCCTCTGATGGACACGTCGCTCAAACTTGGGACCGGCGACCGCCCTATGCCTATTCTACAGAGGGCGAGGCCGCTTTTGAGAAGAAACTCGAGGGTAAATGTCAATGTGGCAGAGTGAGATACTGGCTCAAGAGTGACAAGCCACTCAGCTCCAAGTTCTGTCACTGTCGAGGTTGTCAAGTGCTCCACGGTAAGGAATTTGTCTGCAGTCTTTTTGTCTCGGGCACATGACTAAATCTCATAACAGGCGCACCGTTTCAGTGGGCTGCCATATTCAACAAGGACGACATGGTCTTTGAAAATGGTACCCAAAACTTAGTCTTTTACCACTCGGGAGAATGTACACTCGGCCACGACCTGCCTTGCAAAGTGAGCTGTGCACATTGCCGCTCACCCATCATGGACGAGGGCAGACGGATGGTGTTACTCTTTCCAACTCTTCTCAAGTTCAATGACAAGGCGGCGAGAGATTTATTTTATCCACAGTAGGTGCCTGTTCCAGAGTTTACATGGCCGATCTTTCCTGCTAAGCATCATGTCTAGGTGCCATATCTTTTACTCGGCTCGGGTAGTGGATATACCAGACGGCAAGCCAAAATGGGACGGCCTGGATAGTAGCAGGTGAGTCAAGCCATACAGCATAGATCACCCAAAAAGGCTTGGTGATGAAGGTGATCAATCACTGACCAGTTCTTTCTCTCGTACAGCTTACTACTCGACGACATGCCGTGATGGACATGATGAGCAAGCATATAAAAAGACAAGTCGAAGGCTCCGCGGTACTTGTCGCTGTATTCAAGGATGTTTGTTCTTTTCTTTTTGTCCCTCCTAATAGGCGCGCATTGATCGGGATTTGAAAATTTATATTTTGGGAGCCATCTTATCCCCTAAGACGTATTCCATCTAAGCAGCGGCATTGGCCTTGCTGGCCTTTTTTATTTCATGGCGCTTCGTCACCTGTTCCGCCATATCATGACCCAGCTGAGTACCCATGTCCTTGAAGCCCTGGATGACACCCAGACGGTCTCCCTCTCCCTTGTCCTGGCTCATCTTGACCACGCCCTCCAGCCTCTCGATCTTGATCTCGATACCAATGATGGCCTTTTTGAGAATCTCAACGTAGCTGTCAGGTGCGTCGGATACCCGCCATGGCTTCGGTCTATCGCCTTCGGAAGTGTGACCGGCCACATTTCTCTCCATGAAGAGCGATATGTCGTCAATCTGCTTGGACAGGAAGCTCGACGCCTCCTCGGACTTGTCGTGATAAATGGTGGCTTTTCCATATGCCTGCACGGCGGTATAATCCCAAGTCGGGACAACCTTGCCAGTGGACGGCTTGGTCTCGGTGTAGAACTGTTTGGGGCACCGGGTCAGCATGATTCTATGCTCGCTTCTTCATGATGACGGACCTTCGGTGTCAGGTATGAGTGGACTTGACTGGTGAAAAGAACCAAGACTTCCTGCTCCAGCTTATTGACCTCTGTTTCCTTGCGGTCCGGCGCCGAGAGCGACTCAATCATGGCCTTGCTTTGAGGGTTTCCCCGAGCCAAATGGCCACGGAGGACGCCTAGCTCGGTCTCTGAAGAATCATCTTCGACATCGAGAATCCAGGGGATATGTGATGATTGAATAAATGCATGTTGCGAGGACGGGATTGCAGTCGTGAGGACCCCGAGGGGGTGGTCGCGCACCAATTGTCTCAGAGCGGAGACGCTCGTCTCGGCATGGGCTTTGGTGATTTGCATTTTTCTGTTTTACTTGTAAAAGTTGGACAAAAGGTCAACAATAAATCAAGAATAATCTAATAATAACTAACAAAAGTGTGTACGCCAGAACAAAATCGTTTTATATCAAACTTTCTTGAGGCCGAACGATCTAGAGATTCGATGATATACCGCCGATTGATAAGAGTCAGAGGTGGGCTCCAATGAAAAGACATGACTCGTTTACCGTGGATATGTCATCAACGCCCTTCCGTACAGCGACTCCTGGGGCTTTCCTGGAGAGACGGGAAAACCGACGGCGGCTGGTTAATCTCCGCAAAGGTTTACGTTGCGCCTACGCCGGTCCGGGGCGACGCGCTAGGAGATGCTTCTTCTGCAGGTGACACACACTTACCCTATCTGAGCTTATCTGACAACTCTGAAAAGACGATTGGCTGCGCGACGTAGCAAGGATCCTATAAATTGGTGAGTCGGACCCTGAAATTCGTTCTATAATACTCTCGATTAGGTAGGTATACCCGAAGCCTCGTCATATTATCATGCGTCCGAGGTGAGACTGCAACCCGAGGACGGCTATTGAAATGTGACTCTTTCAGTTGAATTTTATCTCATGACACGACTATAAATGTTGAAGCCGGTTTCGCGACTACCAATACTTGAACACGGCTTTATCCACTATTTTATCGAACCTACTCGGATAGTTCCTTCGGTTTCCGAGCCATCTAATAATTCAGAGCCACTTTTCATACAATTGGGCATATAGTAGGAGTCGCTTGATCATTTCTATATATTGACTGCAGCATATTACGACGTGTTGAACATTGCATCCGTCAATTCAACGACCGTTTCTTGACGACTGGCTGCATTCTTGGCTGGGCTTTGAACAGGTTAAAGACGGATCATGTTGATCTGACATGTCGCGTCAATGAGAAGATTCTTACTTGTTGTGCATATTTCGTGACTCCCAAAAAATCAATGCTCAGACTCATCTCGAGGGACACTTCTTAGAAATATTGGCGTAGTGCTAGGCCATTTCAACGTTTGCCAGGAGAGCCTCAACTTCAGTATGATTCCTGGGCGGATATACAAAACTTTAACCAGCTGCCAATCTATGGCAGAGCTCTACAAGTTATTATCTCTCTCTTCCTTGGCGGCCTTGCACAATATTTTATTAGACCCGGACACTCTGAACATGGCTTTGTATTGCCAAATTTTTTCTTGCAAATCCGAGCATGGCATTGTTCCCCCTTGTCGGCTCTTGCCCCAGAGCAAAGACTTGTGAAAACAATCGCTTCGTCTGAAAGAAACAATACTCATTGATCATTTACTTCCTTGTATGCCTGTCTCTGGTCTATAAAAGGGTTTTCACTTCTCTCCACTTGGCCATTTTAAATCAACGGAAATTACAGGCATCAGCAGTATCTTGGAACCCTCGAACCTCAGCCAAAGCAATCAGCAGAACTCCAAGGTATCTCAACACCATTTTAGTTGATGCAAATCCCAAAAGAACAGCCAATTTGGTAAGCACTCAACCCTTATCTTGATACTATTTTCATCATGTCTGACTCGGACAACCGCAGATACAGTCATATTATTGGTGACTTCGATCCAGTTCCTTCCGATCTAACTTCTCTTACAGGCCCTGAAAGCATCGACTTTGACCGAATTCCTGTCGATCTAACCACTTTGACAGGTCCTGAAAACATGTTTAGCCCTCGGTCCCATGGGGACTTTGACTCTCCACAGATCAGTCCGCGGACCATTCAACATGCAGAAGGATACGAAGTCCAGGAAGACTCTGAATTCGCAACGATACATGCCAAGTTGGATGCGATGCAGGACATCATGGAAAAGCAGCACCAAGAGTTCATGGCGAAATTGAGCGCTCCGAGTGTGTATCATCACGACGCTCATGATAATGATTCTTCAACCCAAAGCACTACAGACTGGACGGCCGACAGCGACCAGGAGTTGCAAGACACGATAGAGAGAAAGGCCGACCAAAGCGCAGCGGAAATTGTAAAGTCGCTTCGGGAGCGGATAACGCAACGAGAGGCATTCGATGATTCATCCAAGCAGCTCGAAGCGGCTTGGGGTGATTTGCAGACGGCAAGGAATAGGATAGAGATGCAAAAGAAGGAGTTGACGAGTCTGCGGGAGACACTCGAGGAGAGAGACGAGAACATTAGTCAAAGCAGGGAAGGATACGAGAAGCTCGAGGCAGAGTTCCGAAAGCTCCGCGACCATCTCGAGCAGGAGCGGGCCGCCAACCGTCGGCAGTTTGAAAAGCTGCAGGACTATCAGGGCAAGATTCGTGTGATTGCAAGGATTCGGCCCATGATGAGAGGCGACAGCCCTGACGATGAACAGGACTTTGGCGAACGACTTCCGGGCGAGTTCTCTGCCAATTGGGGACAATTCCGCATCTCGGAGGAGCAGGCCAGCGCCACTGGAACTCGCACAGTCGTTCGTGAACAGTCGCTAGAGCGCATCTTTGGGCCCGAGGCCACTAATGGCGATGTCTTTGAGGAGCTCGAGTTTCTCGTAAGCTCGGGCCTGAGCGGCTCCCAGTGTGCCATCTTTGCCTACGGACCCTCGGGAACCGGCAAGACGCACACGCTCTCGGCCATTAGTGGAGGAGATACGCCGGATGATGTCAATGATGGCGTCCTGCCTCAGACGCTGGCCATGGCTTTCCGACACGCCCAAGAAGACCGGCACCGCTGGGAATTCACATTCGGACTATCGGCTACGGAGGTCTACTTGGATGAGGCCAGAGACATGGTGTCGAATCAGCCTGCAAAGGTGGCGCTTGGCCGCGATGTCCAGCAACCTTCAGTCCAGATCCGGAGCTATGAAGAGGCCATGAAGCTTCTTGCACGTGTGCTCGCCAAGCGTCGCGTGGGCAGCACAGCCGTTCACGACAAGTCGTCACGATCACACATGATTTTCAGCCTGCGTATCCACCGCCGGACGGTCGACGGAAGCTCCAAGTCGGTAGAAGGCTGCGTCCACATTTGCGATCTCGCCGGCTCGGAGAAAATTGCCGACACGGCCAGCCCGGTGCAAAAGAAGGAGGGCGTCGACATCAACTCGTCGCTCACCGATCTCATCACGACTCTGCAGCAGCTCGGAGGCGGCCACCGACCGACGCCGAACCACTCGCTCGGAAAGGTCCTCCGCACCTGCTTTGAGCAGTCGGGCCGCGTCGTCATGCTGAATCTGCTCAGCCCGCTCAGGAGCGACTACCAGCGCCTGACCCGGCCGACGCTGGAACAGGCGCAAAAGGTCCACAGGTCGCGCGATCCCAAGACCAGCACTCCGCGACGCCCCAGGCCGGCGGCAGACGTCGCGACTACTACGAGTACCCCCGGCACAAAGCGGCCAATGAACCCGGCTCTGTCATCCCCTCGTACTCCCATTACGTCGAGCTCCACTTCTTCCTCGAGTACTAACCGTATGCAAAGGAACAGATCTGGGTTGTCTTCAAGTGAGAGTAGTGTCCCTTCACGCTTTAGGTCATTTAGAGGTGCTTCATAGTTGGTAAGAACCAGGATTATGCAATTGTTATGCTGGTCGTCACTTGGTGTGAACTCATGAGCCTTCTGTAGTAAACAGGTATCTCGGGTGGAGGATGTAACTAGATAGATAAATTCAATCACTGAACACCTGAACTTGATTGCAATTTTCCGAGTCGGCCCCATGGTCCCTATCTTCATAATATTTCACTCCGATGCTTCCTTGTCCCTTCTTTGTTTTTTTCTTTTCGGTTTAACTCGACTCTTTGTACGAATGATGATAATGATAATAGTTTGGCAAGCGGGTGTACAAATACTGTCAGGATTTCTACGTAGGACCCTTGCACATGTGTTAGTATTATTACCGGTTGCTATCCGAAATACATTTCCGTCACGTTGGTACTCCTGCCAAGCAGACAGCAGCACTTGTGCTATTCCCCACCGAAAAAAAAGGCCAGAAGCAAAGTCTTGCCAAGGGACGTGGCGGGGGAAGAGGAAAATAAACCGTTATGCTTGCATCATATCATAAGAGCGTCAGCATCTTAATCTGGCGTGCGTCGACTCCAGCGGGCGTTCCCGTCTCTAGTCTAGTCGGTCCCGAGAATCTGTCTGTCTGTGTCATGAGTCCTGGCCGCGGAAAAGGTCGGTCAAGGGATTAAAATAGCAGCCTTCTGGGGCTCCGCCCTTTTCTTTACATCCCTTGCGGATCAAAATAGTAACCACGTCCTCGGGTTCTTTGACCATTTCTTTTTTATGGGAGCTTGGGGGATTCGCCATCAACACTGAAATCTGGGATCGCTCATGGTCTGAGCCCAACCAACACACTGCACCGCCATGCCAACAAGCGCTGAGGCGAATTTCAACATGTACAAAGGAAGCACGGCGTCTATTACGTGCGACATGCCATGGAAAACCAGTCGATGTACCTCTGTGTCGGCCGTGTACTTTTTCGCCTAATGCAGTAGGAACAAAGAGTTTGATTGGACAAAGCGATTCCTCCACAGAGTTCTGAATCCGAAATTTGCATCAAAAGACTAACAGAGATAAAATCACAGCGCGATAAGAAGATGGTAAAAAACATTGGCGGTTCGAGATCACTCGTGCTGCACCCCTGGTAATTCCAGAATGATTAATTGCGGAGATACAGAGCGAAATCTTTACTGTAATCCCGGAGGATCTCACATCTAAGCATTGCCTTTATGTAATTCCAACAACATGTTTTAGTTAGACTGAACCAGACTTGTTTGTTGCCGTTTCTAAACGTATATGACAGGGAATATATTCTTATCATGTTGCGTAACCAGTAAGTTTACCGGGGGCCCTGGTCCGTCTTCCAAGAAGGGGATTAAAGTTCCGGCCGAAGCAAAGATATAAATATAAACTAGGCTAGTGTTGGCGCATACTGTATGCATTCTGTGCTATGTAGAATGCGACCATGGGATCCTAGACGCATGCAGATGCATATCATATGATTTTGGTAAAATATCAGGGGTCCATATGCCACATTGAGGAAGTCCGCGTTATTGTGGGATCCTTGGTATGCAAAGTCAAAAAATGGTTTCCGAACTGCCGTGACTACTACATCCTACCGGTATTCTTTACACGTATTCCCCTGTTACCGGTATTTTTTCGAAAATTCCGGAGGACCCACCGGGAGTCACCAGGCATCGCAAAGGAAGCATAGCAGGGGGGGGCCTGACAGGTTGTCGGGCGAATTAATGCCTAGATCTTGCAAGGTGAGGAGTAACATTACATTATATAAGCAAGCACACACAGGCCGCCGTGTCATTCGCCGACTTGCGCAAGCCCCTGTTAAGCTCCCTCGGCTTACATTGCGATGTTGTTGGTTCTCCGGAATTTTCGAAAAGAAAGAAAAATAAAACCGACAACAGGGAATAAAAGTTTCTTGCAGCGGATATCAGCCAATGGTGGTACCTAGATTGACTGGAGCTAATGCATCATAGCACAGTATCGTCGATAAGATCGCATATGGAGAACAGGAAAACCCGCGAATCCGTCCTGACTAGCTGTAATGTATAGTATGTTTGGTTGCTACAGAGTAGTACGTAGGTACATTTTCTTCATGCATTATGTAATCTGTAATGCAACACTGTTGGTCCGTGGCTTGGGAAAGGAACATCCAACTTCATGCAAGGGGTAACAATACCATTATTCTGGAATCTTTCATTTTCCACGAGTTGTTCTATTGAGGCACAGTCTTTCCCAGCTCGAAGGCGTATACCATCATTGGACGATTAACGGATGGGAAGGAACATACTATTCCATTTACACCCATGCATGCAATCCTAATTGCCTCAGCTCTTGTGACTGCAACAGTCTATACTACTGATGCTGGCCTATTGCAAATGCGGCACTTGAAATGTAGACTATGTTGATGTCGCATTTGTGGCATCGTCCGCCTCAATCTTGACCTCCACATTATCAACAAATATTCGACCTCGAGAAGGCACAGGTTTTGCGAGTACGACGGTCTCTATGCCTGCAGGACTTCCTTCCTCTGGGCCCATGGGGAGCGCATCGACGTCAATCTCCATATTTAGAAGTGCCTTGAGTATCACCGAGCTTCCGGCTTTGCTCATTACTTCGTTGGCATGTTTGCATAGATCTGAGCAGACGCATTCCACACAGCCTTGCTCACAGTGACAGTACTCGACTCGCTTCAAGGCCTGCGCCAAGAGCAAATCGACAAATTCAAATGCCTTTGTGCTGATGCCCGATCCTCCAGCCCCGCCCTTTGCATCGTAAAATGTGAGCCGAGCCGGTCGCTTTCTCTGCGTTTCCTTTTGCGCAAACTCCTTCATACCGACCTTGCATTCCGTTCGTACATCTCCTGGCATGCTGATGACAAAATTCGGCATGAGACTCATGACTGCATGTTCCGCAGCATGTATAGCACCCGCCACGTTCAGACAGCGATCTATCAAGATATCAAGAGCTTTCTTTGGGACATCTAGCCACATGCCCTTGCTATGTCGAATGATTGGGGGGTTGTCTACATGCACGGCATCCAGGATTCGTCTTTTTTTGTCGACTTTGAAATACCCATATACGTTCTGCTGTATACGTATCGCCCCATGAAATGCTCGAGACAGTGATCCAGGGATTTTACGTATGGCTTCAGTCTCCACAGGGTCGATATCGGTAAAATCGCGCTGTTGCGTCGTCCACTCAACCTTGACCTTTTCCACCTTTGCAATCATCTTCTGAGGCTGGAAATCTCGAACCAAATAAGAGTTGCCCTGATGTAAAAATATTGCTCCGTCATAGATTGTGAAGAAAGCCCTTGATGCCTCAAGCTCTTCAAGTACAACATTTCTGCCATTTGAAATATCAACGATTGCAAAGTGGTCTTCTTCCGTGTCTCGTATAGCGACAAATCTCGACGGAACAGGACGGAATCTGTCATGGCAATGATAAAAGCCGTGTTCGTCTTTGATCAATCGCTCTTCAGCGATCCGGGGCAAGTCTTTTGAAAAATATTTGGCGTCTTCCGCAGGCCTAATAGGCATCTCGTAAGCGGCACATTGCACATGCCCTTCGAGGACAAGCATATTTTCGAGATCCACCTGCAACTCGCAGTTTGGTTTTGTGAACAGCTCATTCGGGTTTTGCATGTAATGCTGATCAGTGGGAAAGCAATCCCCAACGAGGATTGATAACGAGTCCTTGTTTCGCCGGCCGGCCCGTCCGCTTTGCTGTCGCAGATTGGCGATTGTGTAGGGAAATCCCAAAGTGATAACACAATCAAGTGTACCAATATCGACGCCCAACTCAAGGGCTGTGGTGGCGATGATGCCCATGAGCTTTCCCTCAAACATTTCGCTTTCAATCTGCCGACGATCTTGAGCCGTGTAACCTCCACGATAACCTTGTACTCTAGCCATAGACTCGGGCCGACCCAAGGACTCGAGTTCAGACTTTGCCGCAGCAACTAATGCTTCACACTGCTTTCTGACTCTGCAAAAAGCTATGACACGAACGCCTCTGAGGATAAGCTGACAAAAAAGCCTCGCACATTCAGCCAAAGCATCACCACGACCGCTAGAGGGATCGCCAGGATCCTTGTATGGGGTGTTCCAACAGAGGAACTCCTTGCGTCCAGAGGGCGATCCATCAAAGTCGACTAGGTGGACTTGATCAATGCCGAATATGGTTTTGAAATGTGCCTCGGGGTTCGCAACAGTCGCTGAGCAAGAAATGAATCGAACATGTCGGTTGCCAACAGCTGAGCAGATACGTCGTAGTCTCCTCATGATGAAAGCAACGTGGGAACCCATCAGCCCATTATAATAGTGAAGCTCGTCAACGACAACGTATTTCAGATTCTGAAGAAAGGTACGCCATTTGTCTTCTTGGGGTAGTATTGTAATGTGAAGCATATCAGGGTTTGTGAAAATAATGCGAGCATCTTCTCGAATCATGTTTCTGTCGTGCATTGGTGTGTCACCATCGAATGTTTCGACAAGAATGTCCTCCAAGCCAGGCAAGTATGACAGCATATCTTTGAGACTTCTCTTTTGATCTTGTGCCAAAGCCTTGGTGGGGAATATGTACATTGCTCTTGTGAGACGATCCTGCTCCAAGGCATGGAGAACTGGCAATTGGTAGATGAGAGATTTTCCAGAGCTTGTAGACGTTGACACTACTACGTGGCTGCCCGCACGGAGCTGGTTTATGGCCTCTGTTTGGTGAGCATAAAACTGGGTGATCCCTTTGGCATTGTACAGCGCATTCACCATGTCTTGACTGAGGAGAAAATCAAGATCTCCGTAGACTGGAGGCTGTGCCTCGAAAACCCGGTGGCCATCAGGTACGATTTGCCCTGTATACCAGGAGCTTTCTTTGAGCTCTTGAACGATTTCCGGTATGGGTTTTCTCTCCTTGGGAATGGATTTGGGTACGGTGCTAGCCTCGGGCTTGGGTGTGACTTCTTTCGACTGGGTTGGGCTAGGGATGTAGGATTCAGCCTCTTGACGAAGGACCAACTCGGGATCAAGCTTGTCGGCAGTGCATTTACTTAAGAAGGAATTGACAGCGGCGCCAAACTTGTTGTTCCGCTTGTCGATCAATGTTGTCATTTGCTTCTGGCTAAAGACAGGCATCTTGAGATCCTCATCCCGTAGCCGCCTATTTGGCTTGGTGGGTTCACCAGTCTTCTTGTGTTGGACTTGGCGTTTGAGGTCACCATCGATAAACTCAAAATAAAGAACTTCTTTTACGCCGATGGGGTCCTCGTCTGGGTGCCGGCGCATGGTAAAATCATCCATGCCAGTCAGACCACCAACTGAGGCATCCGGGGCGGGACCTTGGGATCTAATGTCTTTAGACTTGCCGGATTTGAATGTCGCATCCCTCTCTGCCCCCTTGATATCGGTCTGCAGCATGAGCTCATCGACATATGCAAAGTTGATGCCTTCCGGCCGTAAAGCCACAATGGCTGCTACATCTTCAACCAATAGTTCCTTTTTGATATGTGACTCCACTGTAGTGCGAATCGTGTCAAAGGTTGTGGCGAGATGTTTGCGGGTTGAACAAAAGGTAAAGACCAGGTTCAAGGCGCGGTGAATCTTGTCCAGTTCCTTGAAATACGGCGGCCACTCGACGGCACACTCAACAACAGCAACCTCGGGTTGAGCAGGACTGGAGGGGCCCTTCTTGGTTGAACCCTTGCGACGGGGTACATCAGAAGCAATAGCATTGGTGGTGGGAGCTCCACGGGGGTCCGCGGAAGACGGAAATACGGCAAGCTCCGCCTCGCCAGGTTCAGGGTCCTCAGTTTGGGGAGACGCATCTGCGGATCGTTTGCGCTTGCGTCGGATGATCCTGTTTGAGACGGTGGCTGCCCTCAACGTAGACATGATTTCACTTGTTGTTGTTGTTGTTGTTGTTGATTAGCATTTGATTGCGGTTCTGTTGATCAGTCGCCAATAGAGCAGCGACTGACTGCAGACTGGCTCTCGGCAGTTAGAGCGTTGCTGCCTCGAGAACCTGACCCAGACAGAGCCAAGGCCAGGACGGAGATTTGGGTTGACGTCAATGATTCGACGGGACAGCCAACAATGGAGAGTCCGGCGGTCCATCTATTTCGCGACGGAGCGGCTTTGGGTGGGGTGGGGGCGGCACCTGGGACCAGGCTGGCGCGCGTCTTCACGTGATGAGATGACCCTTTGGCGCAGGTCCAATCAACGAACAGCGCCGCCAGGGCGCTCTCCATCCCTCTGGGTATCTAGGCGACCGAGGCGACCTTTTGGCTCATGTCCAATCAACAAACAGCCGCCAGGGCGCTCTCCCTCCCTCTGGGTATGTGGTATCTAGGCGACCTTTTGGCTCAGGTCCAATGAACGAACAGCCTCCAGGGCGCTCTCCATCCCTCTGGGTACCTACCCGGCGAGTTTCCAAATGGCATCAAGTTCTGGAAACCTGCAACAACAACAAGCTCCAAAAAGGTTCCAGGGTTGTTGCCGGGGTGGAGAGGCACATAATCTGGCCATTCAGAGCTTGAAGATTTCCGGGGGGGCGGGTCTGGCAGTTGTTTGAATTAGTATAATGGTCTCGAAAAAGAAGAACCAACAGTAAACGTGCAGAATGACTAACGGACTTTGCTGTGCGATTTCGCAGTAGTGGTGTGCTAGCGAATATACCATGCATGTCCCATTGTCTCTTTACCAATCACATCAACTATAGCATTGTCTGTAATGGAGCCCCTATTCTATTTTTGATTAATTCTACTGGTCTGTGTACGGAGCCACTTCCGGCCCGCGATAGCCTACCAACCCGACCTTGCCTGCTTTATCCAGTCGCCAGTCTCTTCAGTGACCAGTCCAGACTGCGCTGGGTGCTAGGGGACATGTCTCTGTGCCCCAGTCTGTTACATCTGCCATGCATATTCGCTTGCAGAGAATGTGGACAATATGATCTGATGAAATCCCGCTACTTTGGGACAGTGCTCGCACTGTGTACTCCAGAGATTGATTTCCCTTTTTGGATTCCGTTATGCTTGACTGTAATGTCCTGCCCTCGAGTCCCTTGACTCCAGGGCCCAAAAGTTCCTGCATTCACAGCAAAACGGGAGCACTGCTAGCACATGGCTTGGAGAAACGGCCACATTACCCCCTCAATGTCCTACCAAAACCGCCAAACCACCCTTGCCACAACGTGGTTGAGAATAGAGCCAGGGTATCTATGCATACGTAGGGCTGGCTTTGCCGCACTATGGTAAATGGCGGAATTTTCAAGAGCCAACATAGTTTTAACATAGAAACACATTTAGATACCGGTACCAATAGAACGTAGTTACTAGTCCTTTAGTAATTACAATTAACGTATAGGATTGGTTATCCCCGTATGCCCGCGCTTCCCCGACGGACGGGATTACGGACTATTTTGTGCGATTCCTTCTGAAGCGTTCTGCGTAATTACGGTTGGCAAGCACGGGGCGTCACCACCTCGATGCTAGCCAGTATATAGTCTGCCGGCATGTGGCTAATCATGTCAAGCCGTTATTCTTCGCTTCTGAGACACACATGTGTGCTTGCCTGTCAGATCATAATCCGACCACTTGCTGACTTGCTGACTTTGCTTGACTATCCACACAAGGACTGAAAGGCGCATTGAGATACCACACCCACCGCTAGCTACTCTGGAGAGTGCTCCGAAAGAGCTCTTACAAACATGCCGAAGACCGATGAACACAACGCAACATCCCGCTCATCAAAGCAGCCAAAGCCCCGGCAGCGAGTGCATAAGCCACCGCCCGTTCTAGAGGTGCCCGATATCAATGAGGATGCTTCGGAAAGAAAGAGGATATTGAACGTATTGGCACAACGTCGCTACAGTAGGCACTTGAAACCTCCTCACCAGCAAGTCGCTGGAGATCATTGGCTGATGATTGATCAGGACAAAGAAAACGACAAAAGAAACTGGACCCTGCTGCGGGAAACGATGACTCATCTCGTGAAGAAAGCGTTGGCTTCGAGGGAGCTGTTCAAGACCCGACACAGGCGGCCTCGCCTCATATCGTCGCAACAAGAGCAGGTAGCTACGACGCCTCGTCATCGCAAGCGCCGTCGCAGTATGGAGAACCCTCAATGGCAGAGTTTGATATGCCTCCAGAGTGGAGCACCTATTCATTAAGCCCGGCAAGCTCAGACTTTCTACTCGCACCAGGCGAGGAACCTGCCTCAGAGACGAATATGCCATATAGTTCCGGCGCATATCTGCCCAATGTCACGGGGGTGGCAACCCAGTCTTATAATATCGATCCGAACCTTTACATGGACATGTCGTGTCCATACATGGACGAGTACTCGTCCCGGGCCCGTGCAGGTGAGGAAGCTGCGCCATCGTACGCATTTCCAGAATCTTACCCGATTACTATGCCCGAGCTCAAGGTGCTTCAGGCGTTCGTTCAACTCGCGACAAAGTTGAACTGCGAGGGTCCCGTGTGGCATCTTCGCGCCCCATCGTCCTTTGGCGAGACCGCCAACATTCCTGATGTCTCGGGCCTCAGCCTCCCACCTGTGGAATTGACCACAAAGACGGGCCCTTCTTCCTCTCTGGTCATTGAATTCCCACCATGGCCCTCGGTCCGGCAGAGGCTTATCGGGGTTTTGCCCCTCCCGGGCGAACTGGGGTCACATCTCTCAGCCGACTCGGGAGGGCCCATGGACAATTTATTCTATGGCGTGGCAGGAGATTCCCAAGGAGTCCGCATTTGGAGCCATGCACCACACGATGTATACATGCATGCATACCAACTATTTTCTGAAGAGTGGAAAAGCGATCACGATTGCCAGTCGGTGGGACAAGCCAGCTCCTGGAGATCGACGAGCGACGATGGAGAAATTCAATAGGGATGGACAATACCCACTTCGAGGAGATGCAACGTGGAGATGATGTGAAAATCTCGATGGCGGACTGTTGGGGACATGTTGCTTGAGGCGAATAGACTTTCTTCGACAGCTCGCAGCTCATCCAATTTCTATACACGGGGTCGGGCAGGTTCCTTTTTAACAATATACGGAGGGGCGACATGGCGTTATTTTACTCAGTGCTGCCAAGGCGTACTGGCAAACTCGGAGCATTTGAAATTTCTGAAATTATAGTCAAATTAGCTATTTGTTCCAATGATCATATCAATTTTATATTGAAACTCCAATAAATCGCTACGAATGAGTGATCTTCGCGGCACTGTTCGATCTTTTCTTCACATTAGGGGTCGTATTCATTTGCTCAAGAGAAATGAAAAAGGGAAATAGAAGTCAAAATGAAATATGCATGTTGTTTCTGCCGATCAAGAATGGTTTGCGATATAATGGCCGCCTCATTACAGACCGTATCATGGGCATGCATACTCAGGTTACGTGGGTTGATTTGTGGCCAGCAGACTTGTTATCTTGTCGAGGCATGATCCAGAGATTTCACCCTCTGCACATCCCGATCGTGACATGAACGTAAATAGCGATTCGCAGGGTGTTTCACCAAGTTCCGAATGTGCTACATATTTTGAGAAGTCGAAATGCAATTGTCTAAGTATTTCAGGTTCGAGAGCTTTCGTGAAGGACCGCATATACCTCGCCACGTGCATGTTAGAGCCTGAGCAATGGATGCTTGCTTGATTTACACCACATTCGTGAACTTCGTGCAACGAGCGTAATGCTTCAAATGATTCCCCCATCGTTTTGCAATGAACACTGCGATCTGTAGTGCTTGCCCGACGCGAATCTCGAAAATACTCAAATTCGGCCGCTGGCTTGTGAGATAACATGATGCAGGCAGTCAAGTATACATGCTTGATATCACGTCATCATGGGCGTGACTATTTTATGCAAAAATGCGTGGGGGTTTGACGTTTCACCAGCAGTTCCCTCGAAGAATTCTTTGATAGTCGTTTGTCATCAGGTAACTGATTGTTGATTATTAAAAAAAATAAAAAAAAAATAAAAAAAAAATGCCGCGGCGAGAGTGCCACAAGCAGGTTGTGTCTATAGCCTCTTCCTTGTGATTCATCATCAAATGTATCCTGCCTCGATAGAAGCTGAAAGCTATGCGAGGTCTCTGGCAAGATCGTTCTTGGTTGACACTTCGATTGCCTATTGGCCATCTTTTGATAATTATTCTACTTGTTGATCCGACGGATATTTTCTTCTTGCCTTTTTGGTGCGACGAAACTCTCCGAATACTCAAATGTTGCTATTTGGCTACATGTAAGAAGTACATACACAAGGATGCAAAACGCAGACGTCACAATGAGTCCGCCCACCCCTTCTTTTTGGTTCCAGCAAGGGATCCGACTTTTTGGAATGAGGGGCAACGAGGGACATGCTGTTGTGCCTGGAGGAAGCGGGGTAATCAATTGACATCCATTGACTAATAAGGGAACTTGGACAAAAGTGTTGCATTCAAATGAGAGACATGATTGTTGTCTTCAAACCTTTTTCACGAGAAAAATCATTGATTATTTTGAGAAAACAAGAACGCAAGGAACTCTGCATTCAAAGCAAAGGTAGAAGATATGGTTGGAAGAACGTTTTTTTTTTTTTTTTTTTGGTTGGTAACAACTCCATAGTCCCTAAAACAGTCTGGGGCCAAAAGGCGTCATTCATGAAAATGGACCCGGACCCTTTGAGGGGCTCCACGGGCAAGTAGTAGTTTTTTTTTTTGTTAACGAAACGACTTGTTAGCGCTCTTTCTCACCGGTGGCAGCACAAGGTAGGTATTTGCATGTTACCTACCTAGCTGCCATTGGGTGCAGTATGAATCGTCTGTGTATGCCGCAGCTGGATCTCGCCAGTCGCCGATGAGGATCGCTAGCAGGTGGTCAAATTTGAGGGCGCCACCCACAACAAAGTGGCCCATCATAGCTTAGCAGTGTCTCACGCACCAATGAGCTGACCGCCAGTTTTCGGAGCGCTGCAAGACATGTGGGGTTCTCCCGGCCTCCGACAGCGACGGTAGGAGTGACGGCCCAGACCAGAATTATTTTGTCGTCGAGCCTCTCAATTATTTCGAGTCCCCCTTTGCAACACCGGTGAGAAGACAATTGATTGCCTGTATCGTCTGGAGAGGGGAGTACAGGATAATCTCTGTTTTGGTCGTTTTATCACCCTCTAGATTCGCCATCCCTCTCTCAAGCCACGGAGGACTCGTCGGACTGATTAAATTCTCGACGTGCCCGCCTCTGTGCTTGTACTGTGCATTTCCCGTCAGATTGCAAGGTGAGCAGCACTTCTTTTTTGACCGAGTCCTGCGTCTACTATTCGTTGCACCCCCATGCTCGGCAGATGCACCTCAGACGGAGGATTACATGCTGCCTCGCCCGCATGTCCATTGAAACCTTTCGTACTTCGCTCGCTTGCATAGGTGTTGGAGGGGTTACGGTGCCCGCCACATCAGACAGAACCCGACTTCACATCGCAAAGACTTCATGACGCTAACTTCACCATCAAGATCATAGATTATAATACTGCCTGGAAAGACTATATCTATCCAAGCACTAATTCGACTGTTTTCAAAAGAATCGAGCGATCTATCGCCCAACATGCATATCAAGGAGATGCTCGCGGACGCTGAGAGGAGCGGTCAGCCCTCCTTCTCTTTCGAATACTTCCCGCCGAGGACCGCTCAGGGTGTCCAGAACCTCTACGATCGTATGGAGCGCATGTATGAGTTTGGTCCCAAGTTCATTGATGTCACATGGGGCGCTGGTGGTCGAATTGCCGAGCTCACCTGCGAAATGGTTGCCCAAGCCCAGACCTACTTTGGTCTCGAGACATGTATGCACTTGACTTGCACCGACATGGGAGAGGAAAAGGTCAACAATGCTCTGCAGAATGCCTACAAAGCCGGCTGCACGAACATCCTTGCCCTCCGCGGCGATCCGCCCAGAGAGAAGGAAGAATGGGTGGCCACCGAAGGCGGATTTCAATATGCCCGGGATCTGGTCAAGCACATCAGGAACAAGTACGGCAGTCACTTCGATATCGGTGTCGCGGGTTATCCCGAAGGCTGCGACGATAACAAGGATGAGGAGCTGCTTCTGGATCACTTGAAGGAGAAGGTTGATGAGGGAGCTACCTTTATCGTGACTCAGATGTTCTACGATGTCGACAACTTTGTGAGATGGGTTGGCAAAGTGCGAGAGAGGGGCATCACCATTCCGATTGTGCCTGGTATCATGCCCATTGCTACATATGCCAGTTTCATCCGCCGCGCCAACCATATGAAGTGCAAGATCCCCGAGCACTTTACCAAGGCGCTCGAACCGGTCAAGAATGACGATGCTGCTGTTCGTGAAGTTGGAAAGAAGCTCGTGGCCGACATGTGCCGCCAGATTCTTGGAGCTGGAATTTGCCATTTGCATTTCTACACCATGAACCTGGCTCAAGCAACCCGCATGGTTCTCGAGGAGTTGGACTGGATGCCTACTCAAGGTCGCCCCAGGAAGCATGCTTTGCCTTGGAAGCAATCTCTGGGACTTGGCCGCAGAGACGAAGATGTGCGCCCCGCGTTCTGGCGCAACCGGAACAAGTCGTATGTTGCGCGTACCCAAGAATGGGACGAGTTCCCTAACGGCAGATGGGGTGATTCGCGATCGCCGGCTTTCGGAGAGTTGGACGCGTACGGTATTGGGTTGACGGGCACAAACGAGGCGAACCGCAAGAAGTGGGGAGAGCCCAAGTCGGTTCGGGACATTGCCGACCTCTTCGTCCGCTACCTTGAGAACGACCTGGACTCGCTGCCATGGAGTGAGGCGCCCATCACCAGCGAGGCCGACTCCATCAAAGCAGATCTCATCGAGTTGAACAGACGTGGCTTACTGACCATCAACTCACAGCCTGCTGTGAACGGTGCCAAGTCTAACCACCCGATCCATGGTTGGGGCCCACCGGGTGGTTATGTCTACCAAAAGTCGTACTTGGAGCTTCTCGTATCGCCAGAGTTGTTCCAAAAGATCTTGCCCCGACTTCATGAACACCCTGACATGTCCTATTACGCTGTCACAAGGACTGGAGCTGTCAAGTCCAACGCGTCCTCAGAGGGACCGAATGCGGTGACATGGGGTGTCTTCCCTGGAAAAGAGATTGTGCAACCCACGATCGTCGAAGGTATCAGTTTCCTTGCGTGGAAGGACGAGGCCTTCCGACTTGGATCGGACTGGGCTCGCTGCCATGACGCCGGCAGCCCTAGTAGAGAGCTGATCGACAAGATCACGAATGAGTGGTATTTGGTCAACATTGGTATGTCCCAAATGAACCTTTTGCTATGGCCAAATTAGCTAACAAACACACCTAGTCAACAACGACTTCCACCAACCACGTACAATTTTTGAGCTTTTTGATGGTCTCTCTGTAGACGGATTGGAAGACGAGGTCATCGTACCTCCCAAGGTCACTAACGGAGTGACAGCGGAACCACTCGATTAGATGTGGTCAAAACTTACGGGACCACGCAACGGCGTTATGCGTTTTCAACATTATGCATTTTAAGGAGCATTCAACAACTGGCGTTTCAACCGGAGTCCAGTTTTTTCAACAATATTGAGGGCATGCAGGAGGCTTGGCGAACCTATGGGATTAAAAGGGTCAGGCTAAAAGTGCATCATATCTCAACGATACCCCCTGGAGTGAAAGTGAACCAAATAATGGTCGGATGAATTTGGAAGGCATAAGAAAAGAATTCTTAGATGGCTAGATACAGCATTCTTTTAATGGTGTATTTCAGAATACTGGTCTGGCGGGTAGACGCAGCAGGCGGCCCGAAGCGAAAAGTTCGTTGCTGGCTCAACGTCCAGCAACAGGAATTCTCAAACAATGAATGATCGATTTGGGCAGGCATCACCTGCCCTGTCAAACAAACCATGGCTTATGAACGCATGACTATGTTGGTGACTGCTGTGATGTTGTCGTTTTCTTCGTTTTCTTGGTTCATGACATGTTGTGACTTCGGCTACTTGATGTTGATCCAGTTTCCAGACGTTGGCAAACTACAACCCCAACTTGCTTCTGCCTCTATGAGCTCGACAGTTCTTCTCAGTTCTATTTCATGATGCTGTGTAATTTTTGTGTATATGTGCAGATTTTCGAAACGCCAATTGTCTACGTCCCCAGCCTCTATATCTAGATTTTCTATCGTTCAATGAGCCTGGCATTGCCTTTTCTGCCAACCTTTTCAAATCTACCAATTTTGGCAAACCTTCTTGATATCAGAAATGGCGACACTCGTCTCTGAGAGAGTTGCCTTTTCGTGACCCTCTGCCCAAGGGTGTGGAGTCCGCTCGATTTTCCAAACTTCGCTTAGACCAAGACTCTCCAAATACTCGAGGCCTTTCATGTAGTTTGTGCCCAACTGAGCGATGCCGTGGCTATCGTCTGAGAATGTGAATTTTCCACCCATCTTCAGCCATTCCTCAGCAATCGGTCGAGCTGGATACGGCTCAGCCAGCCCCTTGCGCAGCGCACTAGTGTTGCACTCGAGCCAACCTCCGTAGCTCACAATGAGCTCGAGATTGCGCATGATCCTCTCCCATACACCCTTCCACTTTCTCACATCGCGAGCTGGGTCTTTGCTGAGCAATCGCGGTAGGTCAAAGTGGCCGACGACGCGGGGCTTCATGGCGACCAGCATCTCGTGCTGCTGGTCATAGTAGCGCTCATACATTTGCTCTTCGCCGCCGCCGGCCGAGGCAATGGCCCGGGCGTAGAAGGCGGCGTCAAAGTCGAGCGGGTGCCCATTGACGTGGTGCAGCGAGCCCATAAAGTAGTCGACGCTCGGGTGTGCCGCCAGTAGCTCCCCGATCAGGGACTCGTACTCTGACCGGATCCATTCGCCCTCGAACCCAATGACCAGGTGGATCTGCGAGGCGTACTTTTCCTGCAACCTCCGGGCCTCGACGAGGTAGGCCTCGTGCCGTGGCATCAAGACCGCCAGGCTGCCTTCAGGGTCGTCGAGCTCCTCCGGGTACAGATCGTCCAGACTGGTGCGCGGCATGTGCTCGGTCAAGCCCATCATGGTGAAGCCCTTGGCAATGGCGGCCAGGATAATATCCTCTAGTTGATCTTTGGCGTGGCCGGGGCAAAATTGCCCCGAGTGAGAGTGCATAGTAAAAGCCATCTCGACTCGGCAACCTGCTTCTGTTGTATTGGTTAAATGTGACGAAGATGAATAGTGCTGAGAGATTGTGAAATAAATGCCGAGAGTATGTTGTCAAAGCAAACGCTATCCGTTTGCCTACGAAATCCCGTTTGCCACTTGAAACATGCAACGGTGAGTCACAAAGGAAGGGTACAAACGGACGATGAGGATAATTGTGTAAGGCGGCGTGCCCAAGGGATGAATATGTGCTTGGTGAGACGGGTTGGGGGAATAAGCAGGTAGCTAGTAAATACAAATGAGATGGTAAGACAGCCACGATATCAGATCACTCCAATGAGTCCCATCAGCTAGTACACATGAGCTTTTGGGTACTAGCGGCACGATCGTTGAGTTGGATACTGCATGGAAATCTAATCGATAAATCTTGGATTCTTTATCACACGCTTGCCTGCCTACTTTGGTTGAGCGGTCTCGGCACTATCTCCGTCTCCTCGAACCAGATTGATTCATCGTATTCCTGGCAGATGGGCTGAGTCTTCTCGAAAGACACAATTGTGTCCTTCTCGAGGTCCAACACGATGAGAGACATCATTTAATTATTCAATTAAATCGTCTGAACTTTTCCTTCCCGCAAACGCCCCGCCCCCGCCATCAGAGTGAAGTCAATTTTCTGAGAGATCCACTGAAAGATGGCGGGAAGCCGCACGCCTCTCAGCGCGCGTTCCTGACATTCCACCCACTAAAAGCTACATCCAATCAGCACGCCATCAAGGTCCAGTGAGTTTTTCCCAGAGCAGCGGTGCCTAAGTGACCGGCTTAGCCTTGCATGAAACCCACCATAGCTTCGATTGGCCCTGCGTCGCAGTCGTCGTGACTTTCTTTTTTCTCAAGACAACGATACTCGGCCGCGAAAAGAAAATCTCAGGCGCAAAACACCATGCCGCCCCCGATATCCTTATAACCCGTTCTCGTTTTATTTCACTTTGAACTCCAGGTTTACTCTAAGAACAAACCTGCATCATTCCCCCCAAACAAACCGACGTCCTTCACCTCAGCGCTTGCTCGAACGCCATGTTGTTCGAGGAAGAAGACGCGCCTCACCTGAAAGCTTGGATCATCAAGCGTCTGGAAAATACGTATGACACCTCGACTCGACTTCCCTATCCGGCCAAAGATCAAACTAACATCTTTTGCTCAAGTTCCGATGCTGATGCCGACGTCCTTGCTGACTACGTCATTGCTCTGTTAAAACATGATGCTGACGTCCATGCCATCCGCAAGCTGTTTGAAGAAGAGATACCAGATTTCCTCAGAGAGGGTAAGTAAAGAAAGACTTCGAAATCAATGTCAACCTTGAGTCAAGTCATCCCTCAGCTAACCACTATTCTAGAGTCTGCTCCTTTCACCGACGATGTCTTTCAAGCAATCAAGTACAAATCGTACTTGCCTGGCGCACCTCCCGCTCCCCCCATTTCCCGTCAAGCGCCGAAACCTACGCCACAGGCACCCAAGATCCCTTCCGGACCAGCCGCTCTGCAGAAGGCACCGTTCCAGTCTCATGATGTCCAACACACACCATATGCCGAAACCCCGACCGCCTTTGCTTCGCACTCATTTCGGAATGGCTCGAAGAAGCGCTCCTACCGCGACCTCGACGCACCAGATCCGCAAGTTATGAGTTGGGACTATGGTGGAGGTCCTCCGCAGCAACAACCTTACAAGCAAGCTAAGCGAGGTGGTGGCCTCGGTTCCCGTGGTGGGCGATACGATGATCCTAATTCTTCGAGAGGCCGTGGTGGATTCGGTGGTTACAATGGCGGTCTTCCCAACGCGGGCGCAAACGGATTTCCCGGGTCCGGCTACAACAACCAGCAGTTCTTTGACGCAACTGCTATTATGGAGAACATTCGACAGCTGCAAGAATTAGGAGCACAGATGGGATTGCATTTGCCGTCAACGGATGCCTTGCCCAAGCCTGCTTACTCTGGCCAGGCGATGCCTGCATCATCGCGTCGGAGACGAGGACAATGCAGAGAATATGAAACCAAAGGGTTCTGCTCCCGTGGCACGAATTGTCAATATGAGCATGGCAATAGCTCGGCATTTGTGCCTCCATTTCAACCTCCTTCCACGGATGAATACGACCCTAATAATGCTGCCATGGGCATGCTTGAGCATCCTGGCCAGCCCGTCAAGCCATTGGACATGCCTTTCTTGCAGATGCCACAGCCCACTCGACGTGAGCCTAAGAAGCCCAAACGGAAAGGAGGGAGATCGGCAATAGCTGCAGAAGGTCCCAGCCACGATAAGACTAACACGAAGATTGTGGTGGAGAATATTCCCGAGGAGAATTTCACCGAGGATGCGGTTCGAGAGTTCTTTACCGAGTTTGGTTCTGTTCAAGAGATTGAATTGCGCCCGACGGCTGGCACTCAAAAACGGATCGCAGTGGTCAAATATAATGATTGGACCTCCGCCAACGCCGCGTGGAAATCACCGAAAGTCGTTTTTGACAACCGGTTTGTTAAGGTCTACTGGTTCAAGGACGAATCACAGCTTGTACAAGACAAAAGACACCCCAAGGGTGACAAGAACGGCTCGTCCAATGGCGATATTGCAATGTCCGAGCCTGACTTTGACATCGAGGATTTCAAACGCAAGCAGGAAGAAGCCCAGAAAATACACCTGGAGAAACAGCAGAAGCGCGAAGAGCTTGACCGCCAGCGCCAAGAGCTCGAGGAGAAACAGAAAGAGTTGATTGCTAGGCAACAGGAAGCGAGGCGTGAATTACAAGAAAAGCTCGCTGCAAACGGGGTTAGAGAAGACTCACTGTCACCAATTCTTAGCAAAGCCACTCTGGATGGCGAACAGCCATCCCAAGCAGAAGCTCTACGCGCGAAATTGGCTGCGTTGGAGGAAGAAGCAAATAGCCTGGGGCTCGACCCGGACGCAAATGACGACTCTTTCTCATGGTCATCTTATCGTGGCAGAGGCCGAAGGCCATATCGCGCGAGGGGTGGCACTCCATCCCGAGGCTGGCAAGGCAGTTATCGCGGCAGAGGCGGAGGCGCGACTCAAGATGTGCATGCCGCGTATGCTGCGTACTCTCTGGACAATCGTCCAAGGATCATTGCCATCAGCGGCGTGGACTTCACGGATCCAGTGAAGGATGAAGCGCTGAAGCAGTACCTCTTTGTAAGTACAGATCGACACAAAGATGGAGCATCTCTGATACAGATACTAATATTGTACAGGGCATCGGGGAATTCGCAGATATCCACACAGACTCTTCAGCTACGCACATCACATTCAAGGACCGCAAGACAGCTGAACAATTCATGTTTGGGGTTTCTGGACAAAAGGCCGTCCCGGGCGTGGAGGGCGAGGTCGAATTGTCGTGGGCATCCTCAGCACCGAAAACTACAGAGGCAGATAACGACTTGTCTGGTGCTCATGATGAGCAAGATACGGCAACGAATCAAGAAGAAGAAACAGAAGAACACAGTGGCTTTGGCCGTCCCAGCGCCAATAGTCAATACGATATGGATTATGAGGGCGGCGATTGGGGAGCATCGTAGGCACAATGCAAAACACTCTAACAGCATGAACACTCGATATCAGGGCGGTCAGGCAAGTGGCCCTTTCGTTGTCGCCAATCCATCTATTCAAGTTGGGCGAAATAGAGAACTTATAAAAATGTGTAGCCCCGTCGTGTTGTTGTGTACCTTACGAAGCTTTGCTTTCGCTCAGCATTGTTCGCGGGATATTGCCATGGCGTGAACTGTACCTTTTCCTCGCTATTTGTATCTTGTAGCACTAGAAAGGCCGAGAGTTGAGTGCTGAGAATATGTCGTCCCACGTAGCAGAGCCAAGGCTCAATTCTTGATCGGTTAAAGTCCAGGAGTTGCTCAGAGAGGTGAAGGCTTCATTCCAGTCACCCACAGTCAGCCCAGGAGGAAGCTGGGGGCTGCCATCATTGGACAGCACAGTCTCTGCTCCTGGCTGAGAGATTTGTACGGTGTTCGAAACATTATCAATCGGCGCCATGATTGGACCTCCAAGCTCAATATTGCTCTTGTGCAGTATCTGGCGCAGAGAATGCAGAGACCGATCGGTCAGCGGAGAGGCCTCTCTTACCCCCTCGAGCATCTTCATAGCAGCTCTAACTTCTTGTTTGCGCTCCTCCATATCGTCCTCACCTTTGTTGAAACACAGATCCATGACCATGACTGTCAGGGCTAGGTGGGTGTAGTGGACGGCCGAGGCCATGCGCGCTATGGCCGTTGGAATAGACGGAGAGTCGCTTCGCCGCGCCGAGTCATCAAAGGCCCTGATGATGGCGCGCGCAGACTCGAGACACGCTCGTCGTGAGTAGGTGTACCGGGCGTCCGACGACAGCCGGAGGAGAAACTTTTGGTGTAGTCGGCATCGGCGGCTGTGCGCCGTAGTGAGTAGCAGGAACCGCATCAGTGGCACCTTGTCGTAAACGGTCTCGAGGCTGCGGCTCCGCGTGCGACTTTCGGGGTTGAGCTGGAGAAAGAAGGGCAGGTCCGATAGGAACGCCTTTAGTTTCTGGTCCACCGCAATGATGTTCTCATAGGGCGTGCGCATGAGCTTTGCCGTCTCGAGCGGTATAGTGTCGGTGATCTCTCGGCAGATGTGGGCTAGCCGCAGCTTGGCTAGGAAAAATGTCATGCTGGTTGGCCGCGACTCAGATCCTGTCGTTCCGATCTCGTCAAAGGCCAGAAACTCATGATCGCAGTTCTTGGGTAATTTGACGTGGATATGATGGGGGTGTATAAAGTACATCCCTTCTTGTGGGCCGGAGACTGTGGATTGTAGCCTGCAGCGATTGGTGAGTATCTATATTTTGAGGCAACGTTGAGTCGTATATACCAGTCTGTAGCCACCAAGTGCCAGAAGATTCTTCTCTTCACCTCTTGACATATCACCGCTTGCGCCGTACGCTCGTCGTCCTTGTGGACTACATCGTCCTCGGCGTCCAAGCGGTTCAGGCGCAAATCTCGCGCAATGGCTACGGCACTAGCCATGAGCATCCGACCCTTCTTGGACATGCCCTCGAGGTAGTACGTCACATACGACATGATGACACAGGCCTGAACGTCCTCGAGGGAGCCCGTCGAGTGGCGCTGCGAGTAGTCCAAAATGTCCATGGCCCCTTTACTCCAGTGCCTGCAGAGAGCCAGGGCGTCGCGCTCGCCCGTCGCAACCTCGGAGGCCGGCGCCGCCTCGTAAAAGTAGACGCTAAAGGCAAAGACGGCGAGCAGCACGGCAGCCTGGCCCGGCGCAATGGTCTCCTGCCGCCCCAGTCGGAGATAGGCCGTTCGCATCATGGCCCGGGTGCTGGGCAGGTGCAGCACGTGGCAGACATAGTCCACGCTGCGCTCGTAGCTGTCGAGGAGGAGCACGGCTGCGCTGTAGCTGGGGAATACGATGCGACTGCTGATCAAGGTGGCCAGCTGCATCGAGGAGAGCCAGTCATCAGGCCGAGCTTGGGCCTGGCATATCTCTTGGGTGCTCCCAAAACCAAACGTGAGACCTTTGGATGCGGATGACTGCTTACAAAAAAAGTTGTGCTTGTCAGTAGAGGCTATTATTATCATGGGAAGTTTGTGGGAAGGATAACTCACATCCACATCGTCCCTGCTTGCAACATGCTCGAGCATGCGCAGGTAGACGTCACCGGGCTCGGGTACAAATGACTCGGTGATATCCTGGGGAATAACAGGTGATACTCGGCCCGCTTCTCTATTTCCACCAGTGGAACGAGTGCTGGGTAATCTACTTGATTCTACAAGAGACTCTAGTCGCTCGAGACGCTCTAAAAGTCGTTGCCTGCTAGGTAGATGCCCAGCAGATGGTTCGGAGCGCCGTTGCGGTGGGACCAGGAAATCGCAGGATATGTTCCGAGAAGTGCAGTTTGAGCAGGGTTGGATTCGGTTGCACCTCAGTTTCTTTGAGCGACACGATTGGCACGATGTCGGAGCTGCACGATTTCTGCCTCGATGCATAATTTCTGATTGCTAAGCCTGTGTCTATATCTGCGATAGACCAATCGTAGTATTGTAGGGTGGTGTAATTAGACGTCATGGAAGTGTGGAATAGGATCATCCGCGGAGGCCCGAGCAAGTTCCGGGAACATTTAGGGGCTCAGTGAAGAACCATATGGCACTTAGCAATATGGTGGGCTGACAGGGTCATGGCCTATGATCCAATGAGAAGAGTCTTTCATGGGTCTACCTCATTGGCTCAGTCTAGAGGGCGGCGACGGTACGTAAGCAGACTTGCATGTCTTGATTGATAATCAGCTTTCCAATCCCGCGGACTGTACCGCAAGCGCATCGAGACTAGCGTGAGAGTATACTTGATGGACTTTATATATCATATAGGGACGGTATCGATGAGCAGAATTCATCCTGGCTGTGAATATTATCAAACACTTGCCTTGAATTTACAAAATTGAAGATTGAACATGCCGAAGCAACTCATTGTCCAAAGCTCTATTGAGGCGTACCAACTGATCGACACGCCAATCCCAGTTCCAACCGAAGACCAAGTCGTCATCAAAGTAGTTGTAGCTGGTTCAAATCCCAAGGATTGGAAGTTTCCTCTCTGGTAAATCAAAGTCGCATATTTATTCTGGGTTGAGCAATAAGACTCATGTAGAAACAGGAGAAACCAGCCTCGAAATAGTGGCGATGACTTGGCTGGCATTGTCCACTCTGTCGGCAAAAATGTCTTTGACTTTAGACCCGGCGATCGTGTAGCTGCGTATCATGAGTTTGATACCGTGGATGGTGCATTTGCTGAATACTCCGTGGCTCCCAGCTGGACGACGTTCCACCTTCCAGCCAACGTGTCCTTTGAAGAGGGTGCCACTATACCTCTGGCTGCATTTACAGCCGCCGCTGCCTTGTACTCTGATATGCGTCTCCCTCTTCCTTATAACCTGGAACACTCCGACTCTGGTGGCAACAGAGGCCCTTTGCTCATTTATGGCGTCACCACGGCGACGGGCGCGTTTGCCGCCAAGCTTGCTCGCCTTTCTGGGTTCTATCCCATTGTCGGCGTGGCGGGCAAAGCCGCGGAACTAGCCCACAGCCTCGCGGATTATGTCATTGACTATCGCAAAGGAGAGGATGACGTTGTCGCAGAAGCCGAGAAGATTCTTCAGAAGGAAGGGTTGAGGAGCAGATACCCCTACGTCCTTGATGCGGTCAGCGAGGGTGGCACGATTGAGCTGACACTCCGCTTCCTCAATCTAGATGGCGGAGTTGTCGCGACGCTCCTGCCTCCAGCTCTGTTTGCCAAGGAAAAGGAACACTTCAAGTACCCCCCTGGTGTCAAGGCAATCAGCAGCAACGTCACTTGCATTTTCAACGACAAGAAGGATTTTGGCTACACCTGGGCCCGGCTCTTCAGCAGACTCCTCCAAGATGGAAGGCTAACGGCGCATCCATATGAAGTAGTACCTGGTGGACTCCACGGTGTCATTCCTGGACTCAAAAAGTTAAAGAATGGCGAAGCTAGTGGTTCAAAGTACGTGTTCCGTATCGAGGACACTGGAGAGGCCCCTGTCCCAGCCCAGGAAGATGGATATTACAGCCTGGGACACACTGATCATACCCAGTCGGAGAATAACCATCCGCTGAGGAACTTCCCCTTGCCGGCCTAAGTTGAGAAATCTCGGGACAGCCCAAGACATTCTTGGGGCAGTACAGCTTGACCCTTTTCAGCCGTCTCACTGCCACTTGTTTTGCTTGAATCGTTCCATAGTTCATTATAGAAAATGAGTGATGTTTCAGTTTAAATTAATAGTCTTGATGTATCATGTACGTATATGTGATTGCCGTTGACATTGAACGTAGGAGAGAATGTCGGAGCTCCTGCAATTGATCGTTGGTGTCCTTGACCTGCATCGGCATAAATCATGACAGGTAATCTCAATTGATATTGTAGAGGGTACCTTTACTAGAGGGCGAGACTTTCAATTTTCATACTTGCGAATAACTGTAGCAATGATCTTTTGCTGACGTTTAGATGGTACATGCAGAAAAGGGGTTAGAGACTAGCCACGGATTGAAGCTTCATTCAACAACACCAATAGGCAAACGGAACGAAATAATTCCGAGGCATTGAAGAAAAGGATGTGATTGATTATAGAAGCTCTAGATTTTCGAATTCCTGATTTACCTTGTCCACTCATCCACGAGTGTCTACCTTGATCTTATCCGGAACTCCTCTTTCCATGCACCAAATCATGTTCTACAAGGGATTAAACATGGCTCTGATCTGTGATGGAGAAATGCAATGATTTGCAGATTGACAATGAATATTTGGTAAACCATTTTCAATCCACACTATGATCTAGGCTTCTGTACTTTGTCAAAAGTGTATGTACTCAATATTGCCATCAGTTGTGCTGATGGGCATCAGCTTAGGGCTTCAAAATTGACCCCTCAATCAGTCTAAAAATAACTCAAGACAATTGGTGTATTTAAGGCGCTTTTCGACCGATGCAAGCATTGGCGCCCCTTTCCTTCTCCTTCTTTTCCTCCCGCTACGTTTTATACAACCGCCAGCCTCAATTGGCACCTCATCACACAGCACCATGGCGACTAATACTGAAGCAAAGGTCTTTGTCATTACAGGAGGAAATAGGGGTCTTGGTCTTGGCCTCGTCAAGTCCATTCTCGCACGTCCGCATCACACCGTGATTACTACGGTTCGCAGCCAGGAGGCCGCGGAGACACTGCAAAAGGAAATTGCCAGCGTCGAGAAGGGCGAGGAGAGCGTACTCCATGTTGTTCAAATCGACTTTACCGAGGCCGTGTCGCCCGACAATGTCCGCGCAGCCATAGATCAGTTCGGCATAGACCACATTGACGTTCTCATTTTGAACGCCGGCTATGCGCATCCCATGCGTACCGCCCGCGAAACAACGGCGGAGGACCTGCGCGCCGCATTTGAAACAAACACGATTGCGCCGTTGCTGGTATTCCAGGGGTTATGGCCACTTTTGCAGAGGTCGCCGTCGGATCCAAAGCTCATCTGGATCACGTCGTCGGTCGGTAGCATTGGCGAGATGGAGCCCGTCCCTGGCGGTGCCTATGGGCCGAGCCGGGCCGCACAGAACTGGCTCACCCGGGCTTTGCATCTAGAAAACCACAAGGATGGTCTGATCGCCATTGCTCTGCACCCGGGCTGGGTAAAGACGCGCATGGGACAGCACGTCGCGGACGAGTGGCCGCAGTTTCGAAAGGACAAGCCGAATGAGCCGCCGCTCGAGGTTGAGGACAGTGTCCTGGCCATGCTCAACATCATTGACACGGCGACACCAGAGGACTCGGGCAAGTTTATCAATGCAGCAGCGAAACCCGAAGAGCCAAAAGTGATCGCTTGGTAGAACATCTCACTGTCATGTACACTTTTCAACTCATACTTTTGAGAATGAGCGATTTGCGTCAATCTGTACATTCAGCTCCACTGACCAAGAGCCTTTTGTCTTTCCCTGTCGCCTTTCGTACATTTGCAAGCGTACAGATGCTCGTGTCGATGACTAGAAGATGCCATCTAGAAGGCCAATGTCCATCAATGAGAATACTAGTGACAGACACATTGTAACAGTGTGATGAACTAAAGCCCTGGGGACACTTTACCATTTAGAGTAGTACCGAGCTTGGTAGATATTATAAGCCATTCTAGCTCTTTTGTATTATAATCCATGACTTGTGCGTATGCTGCAAGCCTATGTTGAATCGCTTAGAACACAATGTAAGAGAACGGCCAGTTGAGGATCCTGACCTCCTGGTGTTACTGTGGTCGCGGGTATCTCGCATATCGAACTCTCCAAACTTCCAAGCATCCAGGTTCATTACGACTAGGAGTTCAAATCCGCAACTTTGCGCGTGGCAAACCTGCTTGTTCGATTAGCCCGGATAGTAAGTCTGTGCGATTAATGAATATGAATGTCAGGGTCTCAAGAAGATCCTGGCTCCCAAACTAAGGATGGTGGTCATGAAGTAATTTTAACCTTATTCTTAGTGCTGCTGGGCGAGCAGATCGATGGAGTTGACCGGCATTTATCCAACCATGAGCTGTATAATATGTTGAGGAACTGATACTTTCATACATGCTCCTGCTTAGAAATTCTGACATTTACTACTCGCTTAATTTGACCCCTGAGTCAGGAATCGGGGACGCCCTGCCTTTTCAATGGCATTCAAAATTGCTTGACCAGCGTGATTGGTGCAATTTGGCACTCCATTTTGCAGGCAGTCATGGGAACTAGGGTGCAATTCTGCGAGACTTGCTACAGAGTTTGAGTCCATGGTCACTGGCTCCAGCCCTACGAGGTTCTCAATGCATTAATCCGGACAAGGACTCTGACACCGTCTCATTTCGTGACCGATCCCTATCTGATCCTTGGCGTGTGGACCCGGGTATAGTGGGGTTCCAATATTCATGGATCAGGGTAGTAAAATCTAAATATAATCAATCTTAGAGAGCACCAAAGATGTAAACTGGATGGCGCATGTTCAATGGAAAAACCGGCTGGAACATCCTACATTTGCGCCGACCCGACCAAGCACAGTAAATGACGAAGAGCCGGTCTCTGAACCACAGACTTGACATACGTTCGTGTGTTGCATCGCTAAAGAAGATACTTGGGTGCAAAATACAATGCCATGGATACGGCTTCAACCCCTTGTCCGGGCCCCCGTCTGGACTGTAAATTACAGAACCTGCTGACAAGTCCCTTGCATTTTCTGTTTTGCTACCCCGACCTCAAGTATCCACCATATCCCCATCTTCGCCTATCTATTGGTCTGACGACAACGAAGCTTCTTTAACAAGCCAATGATCAAAATGCGCAGTCCGAGCCAGAAGAACAGGGGTGGTGATCCCACGGACTTGGGTTCCTTAGAGTTCTCCCCGTACCACGGCCGCGGGCGCTTGCATCTGACAGTCAGTCCTACATTCAGTTTGCAACGTACATAAAATCGCCGCACCTCTGGTCAGGGGCCTGGACTATTTGCTTCTTCTTCTGCTTTTGGACCCTTTCTGCATCATATTCGCGTCATATCACGACTATTGCCTGAGTATCTAGCTCTCGTTCAACATGGCCGGTGGTCAGAATCTTGGCGCCTTGACCACGACGGCGCCACTGTCGTCTTCCTGCGTAGATGAGCTCGACGTGGTCTATAAGGTCCACACAACTCCAGAAGGTTACTACTATCTCCTCAACGGTCCGTTGGAGCCCGCCTCGTGTTATCCAAGCGGCTACGCCGGCATCACAACACAATACTACTCGCCTGCTCCGGCGTGTCCTTCTGGATTCACCTCGGCATGTGGAACTGTCAATGCAATCGGCACTGTCAGCGAGACGGCGTATACGTGCTGCCCAACGTAAGCCTCGTCAACCTTTCTACTCACCAACCATGGGTAACGCGACTCGTGTACCCAGTCACTAACCCACCATGTAGAGAATACGACTATACATGCCAGACCAACGCATCGTATGCATGGGAATCGACTTTGGGCTGCGTGTACCCTGTGGATTCTTCCTCCTCGACGGCCTGGACCGTCGTCAAAATCAGCAGCGGCTTGACATCAACAATAACGAGCACGGGATACGCGGGTGGTATGAATGCGTATAGCATTCAGGTCCGATTTCAAGCAAGTGATCTGACAACTGCGACCTCCACCTCCTCTCAAACGGTAAGATACCAACTACACCAAGTCCTCCAGGTGGCTGAATAACTAATTCTGGGCCAGACGCCCACTACGGCGGCAGTAACGGGCACGAACAATGACAGTCCCAGCTCGACTTCAGAAGCAAGTAGCAGCTCTAATGGCCTGAGCACCGGTGCAATAGCTGGCATCGCTGTGGGCGTGGGCCTTGTCGGCCTTGCGATCATTGGCGCAGTGGCTTTCTTGATGATCAAGAAGCGGAAACAAAAGAGAGTTTTACAGCCAACCCAAGTGTCGCCGACACAAGAACTGGACAACAACAAATCGACACCTGCCTATCAATATTATTACTCGGAGCTGGACACTGGCAGGCCGAATGAAGTCCATGAGGCACCGGCGTGAGATTCGAGAACATAGCGACATGATTGAAAGAGACGACACTTGAAAGAGATGATATAGAATCCCGAATGGCCACGAACTCAACAAAGGCGCGGCGAGAGACTTGTGTATATGGAACTGTCAGCTGGTTTGTAATGCTGAGAAACTTAGAACAGTCTCGGCGCGTTATTTCGAGCGAAGTTGTTGAGTAGGTACATGATCGGCATATAAAGGTGATTAGGCAGAGTATAGCAATACGGCCGGTGGCAGATGCGTTATGCTTGGCGCTATACCATAACGCCATCTGGATCTTCCATGACATGACTACGCAATTGCACATTCGTTGCCCTCGTGAGCAAGGACATGCAAAGAGTCATGGATATTTACGAAACCGTACGAGAGTATTTAATATAGGATCATAATTCAAAGACACTTTAATACATACTGGATCAGATCTTTGCTTCGATCTTGAGCCGCGGATAAAGTTCCTTGCCAGATCCCTGTCGAAACATGTCCAGCATCTCCTTTCCCAGCAGCGTTGACCTACTCTTGGCGTATCCTTTTTCCACGTCTCGCATCCTATCACCCTGGACCAAAATTCCCATTCCATTAGAGTCGGCGCCCAGATTGATCAGATGCGCCACGGCAAGGGCCACACTTTCGACGCGGTTCACCAAGACGCCAAGGTTTGTCAGTCTCGCCTCGGCCTGCGCCGGGGTGACGTTTCCATCGAGCGAGCCCAGCATGGGAGTCGATGTTATGGCTGGCGCCACCACCGAGATGGCGACACCGACTTTGGGCACCTCTGGCTTGAGCGAACGAAGCAGTCCGACGATGGCTTTCGTGTGGATTTTAGTACATGGGACTTGATGAGCCCGGATTCCGAGGTTTACTCACCATGTTTTGATGCATTGTAGTACGGGGCCCCGGCATTCCCCAGATAGCCCGCAAAGCTACTAATCATGATGATGCCGCCGCCATTCTTGTTGGAGCGGAGATGATGAATCGCCAATTTGACCGTGTCGGCATTGGCGGTAAACGTGACGTCCAGGACGCTACGGTCCGGCTCCTTGAGTTTTCCGTCGCCGTCCAGCTCGTCGCTAAAGAATTGTACTCCCTTTTCGTTGAGTCCCACATTGGCGACGACGAAATCAATGCGGCCAAACTTGGCGACTGCCGCGTCAAAGCCGGCCCTCTGCGCGGTCCACGACGTCAGGTCGCATTGGTGGAACAGGACTCTGTCCGAGTTGTTTGATGAAGTCAAGGACGCGGGTGCAGCGGCCCGGTCCAGGATGGCGACGCGGTTCGTGTCTGCTAGCGACAGTACCAGCTGAGCCGTGGCCAGTCCTATTCCCGAGGACCCCCCGGTGATCAGGACTACCTTGTCCCTAATGTTGGTCAACTCAGAGGTTTGCACAGTAAACGTTTCCGACATGGTGACGGTCGCCAATTCTCTTGATTCGATTTTGGCCTATCTCGAGGTCATGGAATAAGAGTTTCCGTTCCGACAAATCGATTATGCCGAATGAGAACCGGAAAACGAACCGATGCCGAGAGAGGGGAAGTGGTTTATTCTCGGGGCCCCGGGATGAGAGAATGTAAGGGAAAAGAATGCGGGGAAGAACTGCGCCATTGTACGTACATGATATCTATCCAGGTTCGAAATACAGTAGGAATACCTCGGCGCATAGAATTGAGATATTTCGACGAATGATCACCGCCTCTCATATATAAATTCCTACGATGTTAGGTACCTCAGTGATTAAGGAGCAATGAGATTTTTGTTGCGGTGCTATTACTCCGTAGTATAATCGTGCATAAGTTGCGCAGTCAGCCAATCAAAAAGCCGCTCGCAAGTACACAACGTACTTGAAATAACCGTAACCTGAAGGACATTTGTTGTTAACAGAATACTAAAGACTTCTTGTTATACAAGGTCAAAGAAATTGTCGAGACATGGAAATGGACAAGATATCTGAAAATAACTGTAATTATGATTTATTCAAGGAAAATGCTCTAGCAATGACTGGTGGTTCCAAAACCAACTTTGTTAACCTTTTGAAATACCAAATAGGCGACTACATCATTGTAATGTCCTTTCCCAAAACTCCAGGGGTATGATTCTCCAAATGCAAAATTTTGTGTGTCTTATTCACCAGCCCAGAACGTTGAACAAGCTCTTCCGGGGGTCGCCCATGGTTTCGACTTGCAGCTGGGCCCGTCTGTGGGCCTCAACCACTGGAGTGTTTTGCTGGGCGAAGATTCTGCTATACTCGTTCTTGCTGTGAGACAGTTGAGAGCCGACATATGTGACGACGCAGCTGACAGCACCGACGACCACCAGAGTTGGGAGCATTCTACAAAAGAAGGGGTTAGACATTGGTGCCGAGCAAGAATCATTGGACTTCTCAGAGCCGCTTACCTTGCTACCGGTCCGGTTGCGACTTTGGTCATGTTTGGGGCTCTAGGCAATCCAGCGGACTGGAAGCCGGGCATTCTGGGGTGTGGGGCAGCCATGACTTTCTTTGGTGGTGGTAGTAGGGGTTGGATTGATTTAGTGTTTGTTTATAGTGGACGTTATAGTGGATGCGTTGCACCGTAAACTTTGTGTAATGCTGAGAATAGAGTAGATTGATTGTGTATGTGTGTGTGACTCTTGTTGAGGAATTGATTGGTGATGTTTCAATGGCAAAAGAAAGGAGTGACACAGATGCATCTTTCTGTCCTGCTTTTAAGTTTGTTCAGAATCCAAAATTCATAACCTCATTTTCTCCCAAGTGTTTTCGTGTCATCTCTAGAACTTTGCACCGCCAACAAACACAACGACGGTGTAGGCCGATGGTGGTGTGACTTTTCTGACCTTCCCAGCGCTGTGGTTGTCATTGTGGGCTGACCCAGCAGTGTCGACACCCTGGACGTCCCCACTAAATCCAGGCACTAGGTGTTGGTGAACGCAAT